AAGCCCGGGTCGACCCGGAGTTGCCCCAGTGCGCTTCCTCCCGATGGTATATTCACTGTCTGGCAGATCGTACAAGGCTGGTAGTAGTGCAAATATCTACCTCGGCTTGATGAAAATCAAAGGGTTATATAAAATTTTATCATTAGCTATTTCTGAACCAGCCGAGAGGGTGCTTGGCGGATAAAGTTCCCAGGCATCACGGCTTGAGTCAGGTAGACCCAAGCTGCATCACGAAAATCCAATGAGTTAAGGCGAGCCCAAACTTGTCATGAAAAATCATAAGATGGATTAAAGTCTGTATCTCGCGTCATCATACCGCGCCAATGTACAAAATCATTTTCAAAGAAAGCCGAGCCAAACCCAAACCTCCGACCGATTATTATCTACCATAGCCGCGGAAGCCCACCTAGACCCGTGCGCCATTGGGATATTATTTTCATGAAAAGCACCCACATCTAACACTCCTCTAGTTGCGGTTGTTGACGGGAGGAACATCGACAGTGACAGTGTCACCGTTCTCAATGTCCTCAGACACCTTCTTGGCGGCGCCCTTGTTGCCGACGCTGTTCAGCCACTTGTCGAGCTTGAACTGGTCGAGGATGCGGAAGCCCTTGGTCGCAGGGGGAAGGACCTTGGTGCACTCCGTAAGCTGGTTGATGTTGTTCACACCAAGCAGCGAAAGACGGATGTACTCTCTGGCGTAGTCCTGTTGTCACAGTTAATCACGTTACCCCAAACGTATCAGTCAGAAGCAAACATACCTCGTTCCAGTGGTTCTGTCCACCAGGCCCAGCAAAGTCCCTGAACTCCTTGCTGGTCTCGGGGTGCTGCGAGATGGCGATATCCGAGGGGAACTTGAACACACGAGGCGGCGAGCGGTCGCTCAGCGTCTCCTTGTAGTACAGCACATCCCACACACCGGGCGTGCTGTCCTGCGGATCGCCAGCCCGCGACACATTGACAAAGTTCTGCTGGCTCGTCGTGTGCGCGCCCAGCAGCGCGACCAGCCCATGCGGCCCGATCGTCTTGTCCTTGAACAGCTGGATCAGCTGGTCCGCCGGCGCGAACGGGCTCGGCAGCAGGCCGCCGGGCGCGGGGGTCGCGCTGTCCTTGCGGCCGACGTACGTCTTGATGCGCGGGCCGAGCGGGCACACGACCGTCGCGACGTTGGCGCCCATCTGGATGAAGTCGCCCATGCCGATGTTCCAGCCCATGGCCTTGTACTTGCCGTGCAGCTCCGCGAAGCGCGCGGCGACCTCCTGCAGCCCGCGGTTCTCGAAGCGGCCGATCTCCTCGCCGGACAGGATGATGCTGCCGTCGGCGCCGCCGCCCTGGCCGGCGGTGGCCTTGGACCAGGTGCCCGCGTCGTGAAAGCCGAGGCGGACGGCCGCGCGCGCCCACTTTGTGCAGCGGCCCGAGGAGCCGGCCATGAATTGGTACATGTCGTCGGCGACGTAGCGCCAGACGCAGCAGGTGTCCTTCTTGCACTTGTCTGAGTTGAGCGCGGGCACGGAGAGGATGTAGCGGTCGTTGGACTCGGGGTTTCCCTTGCCCTGGAGGAGCTTCTTGACGTCCTTGCCGACGGGGGTGAGGTCACGGTCTTTGAGGGTGATCAGGTCGCCGAGGAGCTCGGTCGAGTCGCCTTTGTCGGAGGCGCGGGACATGATTTCGGACATTTGGTTGCCCATGCCCGGGTAGGCGAGGGTGCCGGAGATGGCGAGGGAGGTTGTGAGGAAGGATGTGAGATGCATCTTGTGTGAGATGTATGGAGCGAATGTGAGAAAAGAGAAGAAGGGAAAGTAGTGACTGAATCAGACCTGTGATGGTCTTTGATGAAGAAGAAATGGAAGAGGAGCTTGAACTGCTGAAGAGATAGGAATCATCATCGAGGAGGGGGAAGACGACGATTCCTTATATCCCTTCTGCCAAGATACGACCGTCCATCACGACCTTACCATCTACTTCAGGTACCCAGATCCCAGAGGCCTCAGACACACCACAAACCAACTCATAACAGCTCGAAAATCGGAACGTGCATGCCTGCTTCCTTCGGGACAAGCCTCTTAGCCTCACCCGTTCCTGAGTCTAAGCCGACGCCAAAACACTTTTGTGTCGAACTAGCTCTACTAAGATCTCCCCCGGACACGAGAGAGTGAGATGGTGGATGGAGCGACAGGCCGCCGCCGGTGCACCGCACCGCACACCTTCCAGCGGTGCCAAGAAGAGCCCGGTCGTTTGCCTCAGCCGTCTTCTCGAATAGCAACCCGCTAGCTCCAGGTAAGAAAACGCAAAAAGAAGTGACAGCGAAAACCGCCGGACCACTGGCAAAGGAGCAAGAAGCATATCACTCCTTAGCGTCCCAGCTTAGACCCTGGGCATCAAGCCCGCTGCCCGGGCTGCGCGCCTCCCATCGCCGCCTCACCAGCATCAGCAGATATCCCTCGCCCGCGATTCGTCGGCCGGTAGGAACAACACGACAGTCTGACATGGAGAGAGAGCAAGTCAAGCAGAGATACATCATGAGCAATCGGGAGGAAGAAAAGAGCCCCATGCGGGTAATAGCCGCATCTGCAATGCAACGCACTAAGCCGGGGCTTGTCTCCTTAGAATAGACTCAACATTGCATGCCCTGGGGGACCAAGTATCACCCCCATAAGGCGGAAAGAGCAGAAGAAGTATAACAGCAACGCAGAGTGTCTCCTTGTTTGGCCGGAGCAGATAATCCCCTTGTCTCCCACCGTGCAGTCGGTCCAAAGTCTCGTATCGCGCACCACTTGGCAGCCACGCCAAGATCAACGGCGCGGGATCGGGGTGGGGATTGGATAAGTGGGAGCGTTTAAGCTTCTTCTGCGTGTCCGGCGCCACCGGCAGGGGTCTACTCCCAAAGGGAAACATTCACTTAGTACGGTTGAGAAGAGATACATACGATGCAGAGAAGAAAAGGGGGCGCACAGCTCCTCCCGTCAGAAGAGTCAGACTAAGAAAGTTGGTAGGTAAGCCGTCAGACCTCTCTCTCTTCCCACACACCCCCAAGACACACCGTTGCCTAGGCTGCAAAAGGGCTGGTGCGTCCGTGACGGCGGGATGAGCTTATTGGGGAAATAAAGAAAGCGGTGCGTCAGGATCTTGCGGTCTGATTGGCAGAACGAATGCTTCTGCTCTCTGTCCCTCTCTCTGTGTTTTCCTTCGAGATGCATGTTTTCTTGTTTGTCGGTGTGTCAACTCTCCCGCCTCGACCACCCGCCTGACGCTATTGAACGCCTCCAATGCGCTGGCAGGTGAGTCCGCTGGAAATGCGCAGTTTCTGACAATCCCCTACAACCTGATTGGGGAGCGAAAGCGAAAAAGGTGAGGCATCTGCATCCGAATTCTGCGATTCGATGCTGGGGGCGGAGCGGAGCGCCGGGGAGGTGAATACGGACGGCTCACCTCTCTGCCGGCTTGCTTCATATTTCCCGCTCGGATGAACCGAACAAGCTGTCAGACTCCGTACGTATACGAGCTCTTGTCATTATCTGCTCATTTTACCGCACATCATGCCGTGTCCTGTCTTGTCTCCAGGGGTCCGGTAGGGCAGAGACAGCAGGATAAACGGGAGAAAAGGGGCGCGGTGCGGCGGGACCAGAGACACGGACAGCAGGCGAAAGGATGGCAATGTCTTTGCCATGCGATGCTGGCTGGTGTACTGGTGCGACCCCGCGCCACGAGGGACCTCAAACTCAGCTGCTTTTACGGCGACCCAATTGTTTATTATGCTTTGGCATCCATCCCCATGTCCACAGCATCGGACGAGCCTCCGGTTTGTGGATGCGACGCTGGTACCGGCGGGCTGGTTTGTTTGTCGCCCCTGTTCCTCGGCCGACCGAGTTTTATTTGCATATCAATCCTGATTGGTTCGTTGGTGGTGGTTCATCCCGAAGGATTGAAAGGGTTCGGGCAGTGTGTGCAAGAACTTGGGCTTTGTTCATGCGAACATGAGTGCACTGCCCAGAATACCATTTTTGGTGCCTGGAAACACAAAATTCATCGGAAAATAAAATGACCACTTTGAAGGAAAAGAAAGAATAGAAGATGTGGTAAGCAGAGCCCAAAGCTGGCGAGCATGTATGATGTGGTGTATTTCCCCAATTGGGCATGTCCTATTTTCAGCTGTGGCGCACGAAATCCCTCCAGCTGCATCGAACCAGCATCGATCTCATTAGGTCACCAGAATCGCGCCTCACCGTCGCGCACCCAGTCATCTGGTCGACCACATGGACAGGGCAGGGCAGGCCGGTAAGCCGGGCTCAACTCAAGACCGAGGGCTGCAGCTGTCGTGATTTCTGGGCTGACTGACTATCGATACACAGCAGTGAGTGTCGGCCATGCTTGTGTTGCCCTGCCATGCTGGACAGCCCGATTATTTTCGCTATGGGCAGAGGAATCACCGGCGCCGTGAACCTCACGATGGAATGATCGGAAATGCTCCAGTTTGGATGCCTGATGTTCCGTAGGGTACCTAACCTATCGTAAGCGGTCGTTCAAGATGGCCAGGCGAGCGGCGTCAGATCTCACATCATCTCAATGCGACTCTGAATGGAAGCTTCCCAAGACCGTGGCTCCGCCGGTGTGATGCTGGAACAGTAAGGAAAACAATATGAATCCCGGTGTCGATCTCGGGGATTTGCAGACCAGGCAAAGTCCTCACCCAACCCACGGCGCTAAACCTCATGGAGACGGGCTGAGCAGGTAAAGCAAACCTGTAGGTGGGCTGTAGGCGCGGAGTGGCCAAGAGTCAGCTGCCCTGGTGCTATTGATTTCTTGCAGATGCAATCATACATGCCCGTGGTAATCATGCCGTTGAAAATGTGAACTGATATTTTTGACACATAAAAAAAAATACCCCGGTCTAATCCGAGGGTGACAAGGAGGGGGCCGGCAAGGCTGGCCAAACCCCCTCATGCATGTTGTTTTTTCATTACCGCCCAAGAACTTTTCCCTTTTTTCAAACCACAGTATCCTTACTCGTCGTCCTCTTCCTCCTCCGCAGCCGCCACCGCAGCCGCCGCCTTCTTGGCCGCGACCCACTCCTTCGCCTTGGCCATCACCTTCTCCCGGCCCTTCGGGTCGAGCTTCTCCTCCCAGTCGGCCCACCGCTTGAACCACTTCTCGGCCTTCTTGGCCTTGAGGCCCTTCGCCTTGGTGCCCCTCTCGAAGACATCCCTGATGGCCGTGGCGTCCGGCTCCGAGGCTGAGAGCTCGAGGTCGATGAGCTGGCCCCAGAAGTCGAACCGCTTCGGCCACGTCGCCAAGATCGTCTCGAACGTCGTGCGGCCACGCTCCGCGTCGCCGTTGGGCGACTTGAACTCGAGGGCGGCGAACCGGGCCATCAGCTGCGCGGTGTGGCGCTGCTCGAGGGCCTGCGTCGCACGGGGGAGGAGCGCGCGCGCCCTGTCGGGCTCGTTCATCGTCACGTGCAGGAAGTGGGCGTAGTTCACCCACACGTCGGGAGACTTGGACTTGAACTTGTTGACGAGCGATTGGAAGACATCATCCGCTTGCTGTTACCCAATGTGTTAGCCTTCATTCTTGTTGTACCTCTTCAGGAAGTGTTCTTCTTACCTTGAGCTTTCCGGACTGGATGTAGATGCTGGCCAGGCGCTCGTGGACCTCCTGCTCATCGTTGTACTGGCATGCGCGCTTGAAGACCTCGTCGGTGGAAGCCTTGGTGCCGTAGGCGACTTCCAAGTTGAGGTAGGCGATCCATACGTTCAGCTTCTCGGTCTGCTCGCGGATGTTGATGGTCTTGATGGCACGCTCGGCGGTCTCGCGAGCCTTGGAGAGCTCGCTGACCTTCATCTGCAGCGCCATGTACTCGATCCACAGCTGTGACGAGTCAGGCTGACCCAGCAGGAGACGCTCGTAGTCGGTCGCGGTCTGGGGGCCGTGTGCGTCGAGGTCGCCAGTGCGGTCGACCTGGATCTCGCCTCCCTTCTTCTTCTCCTTCTTCTCTGATGCCTTGGACTTCTTGCCCTCGGCTGGTTCCTCCTCATCGTCGAAAGCGTCGCCTGTCCAGTCGTACTTGCCGGCGCTGAGACCCTTGCCCTTTGCTGGTGCCTCTTCCATCTCGACATCGCTTTCCTCGGCATCAGAGGCCTCCTCCTCATCAGAATCCTCCACGTTGTCCGTCCCGGTAATCGTGAACTGAACGCCCTCGCCCATATCAACATCCGAGTCATCGTCGCTGTCGAGCTCGGCACCTCCGTCAACATCATCCATGTCGCTATCCTCGTCGAAGTGGCTCGGCTTCAGGCTGAAAGTAATGCGTCGCTTCTCGTCGTCGATGGAGATGACCTTGGCCTTGACGACATCGCCCTCGCTATAGAGCTTGCGGGCGTCTTCCACAGGCTTCTCAGCCATCTCGCTGCGGTGGCACAGACCACTGACGTTTGTTGAGTTGTCAACGACAATGAAAGCACCAAACTCCTCCACCTTGCGAACCTTGCCGGTGACGATCTGGCTCTCCTTGATATCCTTCCATGTGATGGGAGGGGTGTAGTCGTTCTCGACGACAGAGGCCTTGAGACTCAACTCGATCTTGTTGATAGCGGTGTCGATGCTGATGACACGACCCTTGACCAGCTGATCGACCTGAAAGCTGCCCTTCCAGTCCTTGATATAACGATCAGACAGGTTGGCAATCTTCACCAGAGCAGAGATGCTGCCTCCAAGCTGGACAAAGACGCCGTTGTCTGCGACGTTCTTGACAAAGCCGCGGACGATGTCTCCAGAGGTAAGCTGCGCCAGAGAGGTGATTTCGCGGTCGGCAACAGGTGATGTAGAACTCAAAATACGGGAAGGGCGGGTAGACAGCCTGAGCCTCTTGTTGCTCTTGTCAACCTCAACAACGGACACTCTGATGATCTCACCCTTGTTGAACTTGAGGGTGTTGGCCTCGTCGTAATCGTCACAGAGATCAACCAGGTGGACAGGACCGGAAACAGCGTCGCTAAGCTTGATCATGAGCTGACGGTCGTTGACCTTGGTGACTCTTCCAGGAAGGATCTGGTTCTTCTTGAGGGAGTCCCACTTGATCTCGCTGGTACCAGAGGATGAACGAGAAGACAAGTCCAGATGGCCCTTCTCAGCATCGACAGACACAACCTTAACCTTCAAGGCAGATCCCACCGGGAAGTACTTTTCCAGGTTGCCGGCGTGAGACAGATCATCAGAAACCTCCATAATGCTGATTCTTCCGCGAACAGTAGGTGACAGGTTGACCCAGAGACAGTTCTTGCCGTGGTTGTTGACGAAAGCAATGTGGGAATCGCCAACCTTCAACTTGTCGTAAGAAAGAAGGTCGACCTCCTTGGCCTCGACGTCGCTCTTCTTGGCGGTGAGCTCGATGATGGAATGTGTCGAACGGTGAGAGAAAGGCAGGAAACGGTAGTTCTTGGAGTCGTGGATTCCAATGGCGCGGACGCGGATGATTTCGTCAACCTTGATCTTCTTCAAAGGAATCTTCTTGTCAACGATGTCTTCCCAGTTGTCGAAAAATTGGGAAACATCAATACGGCCTTGGATGTTGTCGGCGACCTTGACGTTGATCTGGGTAGCCTTGACGGAGGCAACCTTCGCGTCCATAGTGGTTCCCAGGGCAACGTCGTTGACGTTACGAATCTTCTCATCGACGGAGTTCAGGGCTGCAGCGGCCGGGACCTTCTCAGGTTCCACCGCAGATGAAGGCGTGACGATGATGCGCTTCTGCTCGGGGTTGGACGACACGATCTTGACCTCAACAGACTGGTGCTTGCGCATGCCAAAAGAAGCCTTCTCCTGCACCTCCTTGTCGAGCTTAGACTTGGGGAGAATAGCGGTCAGGTTGCCGCCAAACTGAACGTAAACGGCATAGGGACCAATCTCCCTCACGTAGGCAGGCGCAACTGCACCGACAGTGACATCATCGTAGCTAGACAGAAGCTTTCCGTTCTTGCTGGCCTCAATAAAGCTGGGCTTCTGTGTCAGAATGACGGCACGGCGTCGCTCGTTCTTGTCCAGGACCATGAGATCCGTCAGTGTCTGGCCAACGCGAATGCGCTTCAGGGCCGCCTCGGTCTTGCTGGCAGACTTGTCCGTCAGGTGACCAACGCGAATAATGGCCTTGAGTCCGCTCTCCTCGAGGTCAACAAAGACCTCATCCTCAGTCTTTTGGGAGACCTTGGCAGAGACGAGGTCGCCAATCTTGAGGGCCTTCAGCGCGGCCTGCTTGTCGAGGCCGAAGGCTGAGGGATCCTTGCAAGACACAACCAGCCTACGCTCCTCAGGTACAACGCTCAAGACGTGAACGCTAACAACCTGACCAGCGCGGAAGTGTTCCCTTGGGTCCTTGATGTAAGCCTCACTCATCTGTGATACGGGAAGGAAACCCCTGACGTCGCCAAAGAACTCGAGGCGAGCACCATCTGCGCTGACGGAGGTAATAGTACCAGGTGTCTGCATGTCAACCTCGACGTCATCGTAGTTCTTGATGATGGTAGAGTCGGAGCTGACAAGCGATTTCTTGAGGGTGAGACGGAGCTGGCGCTTGCGCAACCTCACAGAGAGAACACGGGCCTTGACCTCCATCCCCTCTCTGAACTTCTTCTCAGGATGCTGGAGCTTGACATCGGCAAAGTGAGACTCGTGAACGTAACCGGCAATGTTCTCCGCAAGCTTGACAATCAGACCGCGAATACCGTTCTCGCCAATAATCATCTTCTCGATCTTGCCGGATACAATCTGACCAATAGGAACGTCCTCGAGACGAATGAAAGCCTGGTCAAGGACCGACTTTTCAAACGACAGGAGGAACATTCCATCGAGGGGACTGTAGCCAACGACTCTGCCGCGGTGGGTTGTGCCGACCTTGAAAGGCCCACTGCTCTCGTAGAGAGCATCGACCTTACCATCCTTGACGCGAGAAATATGCACAAAACCAGAAATACCGGGCACGCCAGTGTCGACATACAGACCAATGTCGGGCTCGACCTGGCGCACAGTGCAAGTCTCGGCGAAGGCTGCGATGGGAAGCAAGTCGAGAGGGGACTTCGCTCTGCTGCCCTTGCCGGAAGATTTCGACTGCAGGCTGTTGATATGAGGCAGAAGCGAGATGCCGAGCTTGGGCTCCTTGGCGGCCGGGAAGTTGCAGATGATGCGCGCCTTGACGCGACCACCGACCTTGTACTTGGCATCCAGATCGACACCATCCGGGCCAACGCCGGAATGGATCAGGTCGGCGGTGACGGGCAAGTGACCCAAAAGCTTACCCTGGAGACCTCTCGAGGTGACTTCCGTAAGGAGGACATCGGCCAGGGTTCCGGGGAGGAACGAGTTGATCGTGGGGGCATTCGACGCGACGTTGGAGGTGCTGCCGAGCTTCTGGGGGTCGGCGGAGAGCTGGACAACGATTCCGGTGACGCCCTTGACAACGCAGAGGCATACAGCGCCGGGGCGAAGGCTGGCCTCATCCATGCCGGGTCCGACCTCTTTCTTGGACAGGAAGCCCTTGAGGTCTCCCTCAATTCCCAAGTTCATCTCGTAACCGTGATCCTGCACGCTCGCGATAGAGGCCATGAGGGTAACATTGGCCACAACATCATCGCTCGAAAGGCCGGTGTTGGTGTCGACAGGTCTTAAAGAAAGCTCGATGCGTCTCTTGGCCTTTCCGCCGGCTGTGTCGTCGGAGGTCGAAAGAACGTATGCGCGGACGTATTGGCCGATCCTGAACATGGACTTCAGGTCGACGTCGTTCTCTTCGTCTTCGTCTTCGCTCTCGTTGTCGGAGGTCTCCATGGCGCCCTCCAGTTTCGCATTAATGGTATCTGAGATTGAGGCGATCGAGACGTGACCTGTCAGGTTGTTCGGCAGGGCGATCGTGAGCTGGACGGGGTCGATGTGGCTGATCTGACCAAGGACGAGGGAGCCCTTGACCAGACGCTTGAAGTTCAGACCCTCAATCTTGACGGCATCCTCGTCGCGAGCAGGCTTCGCGTCCGTATCCTTGGCCTCCTTGGCCTTCCTCCTCTTCTCCTTCTTTGCCTTGCTCTTCTCGTTGACGTCGAACTCGGCGTCTTCCTTGGCAGCGTCTGCCTTCGCCTCCATTGTGATCTGCTTCTGCTCGAGGGGCGTCAGGACGCTGCCGCCACCACGAGGGAACAGAGGCTCTTCATCCTTCAGGAGTCTCGAGACGGTCGGGGCCCTGGGTGCGGGTGCCTCTTCCCTCGGCTTCTTGTCCTTACCGCCGTCCTGCTTGCGGTCCTTGGTGGGAGTGTCGCGCTTCGAGGGGCGTGACGCCTTTGTGGACTTGGCGGACTTCGACGGAGGAGTACCCCCGGGGGCATCCTTTCTCTTGAGTGAGCTCATATCGTATGCTGCGCCCAAAAACCAGGTGCAATTGCTTGCATCAGTCCTGGACTCGGTGTTTTGGAGAGCGGTACAGAAAAAAAAGAGTAGGGACCTCTCTCTCTTTGCGATGGCTCCACTTGAATTTTTTTGATTTTTCGGGGCGGGATGCAGGGCGATAAGAGATAACGATAACACACTCCTTATCGGAGCACCGGGTGGGGATTGGTGGGACTGGGCGGCACGCCTCGGCTTGCGCAGCGAACGAACACGCACCTTAGCGTCGCCTCCTTTACCGCAAGCCACTCCAATGGCCACCGACTGTTATCTAATCAGAAGAGCAGACGCGCAGGCGTGGGCGACTTTCAGTGTCATTTGGGGGTCATTTGGAGGGGTCGGTCGGCCCAGGTAGCGCTCACCACGGGATCCTAGCCAAACGCAGCGCAAACACGGGCGCACCCCGCTAGGCAGCCTGCCCAAGGTACCACCTACTTTCCTGCCTACCAAGTGCCTCCCGTCAGTGAAAGTAGGCCCGGAGGGTAATCAACAACAATAAGGCCAGCAGCTCCTAATTACTGTCATCCCTTCTTCTCACATCTTCCACCATCCCCTCCCAATGACGAATTCTTAAAACGAACATGCGGCAGATTGACTTCCCAGCTGCCGACCGGACTTTTAACCACGACTAAAAGCTGCCCTCCCCGCGAAATGTCTCCCAGAAAGCGCCAGCGACCGAACCCATCAGAGCCAAGTTCATCCAACCCACCTGCCGCAATCGCCCCTGCGACAGCAACATCGGCTACGTCACAGGTCACGGCCGTCTCAGAGCCCGTCCACCGGCCACCGCGTGAGATTCCGATGGCGAGAGACAGGAGCGGCAGCGAAACGAAGAACACCAAGCCAGACTCCCAGAAACAGGTATTGCTTCACCATTTTTGTTGAGTTGTGACATGCTCTGGCGCAAAAGTCTAAACAGCATGGTGCAGGTCCGCAAAGCGAGGAGTTGGTACGGCTCCTGGCCGCGCGCCCCCAAGTCCTCCGCATCCACGCAGATTGCCCGAGAAACAATCTTTGGAGGCACCCTGAAGCCATCCAGCACCCCCGATTTCCGACGTTTCGATACGAAAAAGAGCATCGATACGACGAGCTTCGACGGTCCCGCAGACTCGTCCGTGTCGCTACCCCAGATTCCCGAGAACGGTGCAGTGGCAGAGGAGAGCGCCGCCACAACAACAACAAACAAGACAGATAACGAGACGACAAACTCGCAGGCTGGAATCACGGATCCATCACCACCACCGCAGGAAACGCCGGCAAAATCCGACGACGCTGGGAAGACCGCGACGGACGATCAGAATCCACCACGGCCCGTGACGGCATCAAGTTGGTTCGGTTGGCTAGGGCGCGCGCCGCCAACAGATGCACAAGCTGCAGCACCAGCACCCACTGAGGAGCCACCAAAAGTGGAAGAACCCCCGAAGGAGCCAGAACCGCAGGAACCACCGCCTGCCGAGGTGCCAGCACCCGAGCAAACCCACCAGGCCGCGGCAACTTCACCGACACCGACGACGACATCTTGGTTTGGGTTTTGGTACTCCAGCACCTCTGCAGAGCCGCCTGCCATCGCAGATCCCGCTGCCGCTGAGCCGATAGAACCAGATCAGCCAACCACCACCACCACTGAACCACCTGCAAAAGAGCCAGAAGACGTAGTAATGGAGGATGCCCCGCCGCCAAAACCAGATGCTCCCAAGCAAGATGCCCAGAAACCGCCATCAGCCGGCTCAACATGGGCGTTTTGGTCGAGAGAAAGCCGGACAAAATCTGACGGCGGCGCCAAAAATGCCAAGCCTCAGCCGGAATCTGGTGAGCTTGCAGTCATGGGTCAAGGCTCAGAAGCGCATCCGGAGAGAACAAGTGTGGATCAATCCGAGCGGGACAGCGTCTTAAAGGATATCAAGGACGCGAAGGCCTCGAAAGATACGAAACCCGCCAAAAGTATCAAGTCGGGAATTGCATCCGCGCCGTCGACTTTTGGTAGGAAGAGTAAGAGAGTCCGGCCCCAGTCGATGGAGATCGATGTTCAGGTGAGGCCAGAAACGCCTACACGTCCCGATTCCGCTGCGTCTTCAAGAGCCTCAATCACCGACAAGACACCAAAGGAACCGCCCCTCAAGCCGGGAACCCCAAAGAGTACCAGCCAAGAGACTCCATCAAAGTCAACGCCACCCAATCTCTTACTGCCTTCATTTGGAAGCACATACCGCATGAAGGACAACCCATCGATCATTAAACAGATCACATCCCTGCTTCTACGGAACCAGCAACCTCCCGCAAACCACGTTTATAGAGTAAAAGAAACACCAAAGATCAAGAAAGCTCTCGCCATTGGAGTCCACGGCTTGTTCCCGGCAACGTATCTCCGTCCCATGGTAGGACAGCCTACGGGGACTTCGCTTCGCTTTGCAAGCCTCTGTGCCGAAGCTATCGGCAGATGGGCAGACGCCCACGGGTGCTCCGACTGCGAGATTGAGAAGATTGCCCTGGAAGGCGAGGGCAGAATCGGAGATAGAGTAGACAACTTGTGGAAGCTCCTTCTTAACTGGATCGAGCAGATTCGCAACGCAGACCTCATCATTCTGGCATGCCACTCTCAGGGCGTCCCTGTCGCAACCATGCTGCTGGCAAAGCTCATAGACTTGGGCATCATTACCAACGCCAAGATTGGTGTCTGCGCGATGGGTGAGTCTGCCGGGAACTCTCTCGCAAACCACAAGCTAACATCTTACAGCTGGAGTCTCCCTAGGCCCATTCCCCGACTACAAGTCTAGCATGGGCATCCTAATGGGCTCTGCCAACGAGCTCTGGGAATTCGCCAACCCAGATAGCGAAGTCTCCAAGAAATACGAAAACGCACTTAAAGAAGTCCTCCATTACGGCGTCAGAATGACATATATCGGCAGCATAGACGACCAACTCGTTCCGATGGAATCCGCAATTTACTCCCCCGCCTCTCATCCCTATATCTATCGCGCCGTCTTCATTGACGGCCGTATCCACGCCCCAGACTTGTGAGTCTCCCAGCTGTTCTTGTTTTCGAAGTTTCCCATCTAACACCTCGACCAGCATCGCCCACCTAGTCGGCTTCGCCCTCAAACTCCGCAATCTCGGCGTCTCAGACCACGGCCTCGTGCGCGAACTCTCCACCCCGCTCGCCGGCAGCCTCTACTCTGGCGAGGGCCACTCCCGCCTCTACTACGACGACCAGGTCTACGATCTCGCCGTCGCCCACGCCCTGGAGACGGCCGATGTCAAGCCCAACGTCCCCGCCACCGTCGCCCACCGCCGCGACGCCGGGTCCTCCCTCGCGAACCCGAACCCGTACCACCTCCCCTGGATCATGCGGGGCCTGCTGGAGGAGGACTTTGTTCGCACCGAGCTGTCGTCCGAGACAGAGGAGCTGCTGAGGCAGTTTGATGACTGGAAGCCCGTCACCAAGGCGCTGAAGGATGTCAAGTACCGGCTTGAGGCTATTCGGTCCAAGCTGTAATGTACCACCATGAACCGCCGCGCAAGTTTTCTTTTGTTTCGGTTGCTTTCACCGTATCAGGCGTAATTGGTCATTGGCAGGGAGGACGCAATCCAGACGGAGAAGGCGTTTTGATAACTCGCAAGATGTAACAACCTAGAATTTTTACACGAAGAAGTGAAGGAGGGGAAATGATGCATGGTGTTCACGCACTGCTTATTACAGGAGACCAGATACAATATACCAAAGACTTTCATTTTTTCTATCAAATGTCAGCCCACTGATTTTATTTGACCTCACCACACACCGCTATCATGACTCTTTGGCCTCGTTATCTCATTCACTCACTCCATCTCATACCGCATTTTCAAAAGACGTGGTCATGTTTAAAGTCATGAGATTTCTACAACTAACCGGGCATTCTCTCAGCCCAATCATGATAACTTTTCTTTTCATCTTTAAGAAGAAAGAAGGTCTGCCAACCATTACTTTTACACGGATCCTCTCCCCTTTCTTCATATGGTACATACGATGGCCTCGCCATTCTAATCGCGTCTAGCAAATCTAGCGCAAACACTCATCTATCTTCCTGCAACACAGCTCTCTTGCTCCATTCACCTCTTGCCCAGCTGCCAGTCATGAATCGTATTCTGGATAGCCTCCCACGTCAACGAATGCGTGCTCACGCCGTGCGCCTGCGCCTCCTGCAGCACAACCGTCGGCGCGCCGCTGCCCCGGCCCGCGTTCTCCACCATCCCGCCGACCACCACGCGCGCCACGCGCCGCAGGTCCTCGACCGTCAGCGCCTCGATCTTGCGGCACATGTCCGTCACGGGGATCTTGCGCCCGTGCACCTGGACCTGCCGGCCCAGGTCCTCGAGCTCGACCATGCGGCTCTCGAGGTTCATCAGCAGCGAGGAGCGCAGCTGGTTCTTGGCGCGGTCGACCTCGCCCTTCTTGAGCGCCGAGAAGCCCGTGTCGAGCGTGAGCGCGCGCAGCTCGCGGCACATGACGTCGAGCATGCTCGCGGTGCGGCCGGGGATGCACGACGCCGAGATGCCGAAGAGGCCGGAGTCGGTGTACGAGTGGTTGAAGGCCACGCACGACTCGACCCAGCCGTGCTGGTTGAGTACGTTGGTGTAGAGGCGCGAGTACATGCCCTTGCCGGGGCCGCCGGCGGAGAAGGAGCCGCCGCCGCCGAGGAGGGTTTGGAGGGTCGCGAGGGCGTAGATGTCGTCCGAGTTGATGGGCAGGCCCTCGAAGGCGAGGTGGATGTGGGTGTAGTTGGGGTTGCTGGGGTTGTTAGAGGGGGGCTGGGACGGGAGGGAGAGGAAGCCGCCGGTGTAGTGGGCGGGGGCGTTGATGTCGTGGGTCAGGGGCGTGGAGGAGGCGAGGACGTCGGCGTTGGCGGGGGCGGAGGTGGAGAGGTTTTTGAAAAAGGGGACTTTGGAGAGGAGCTTGGAGGGTTGTTGGACGGGGGAGGGCGAGGAGGAGGATGTTGAGGAAGCGAAGGATGAGGCGTCTGAGATGGAGGTTTCTGAGCCGGTGCGGGAGAGCGTGGGTTCTGAAGCCTTCATGTCGCCAAAGTACTGCTCCGCCAGCTGCACTGCCTCTCCGTGCTCAACACCAGCAAACGCAACCACGATGCGCTCCGGGCGGTAGAACAAATCGCGGTACCGCAGTATCGTCTCCCGCGAAATCGCACCCAGCCTGTCCTCGGGGCACAGCAGCGGGTTGCCCAGCGTATTATCCTTGAACGCCGCCGTGTGCACGAGCTCCGGCAGGATCAGCTCCGGCTTGCTCCAGATCTCGTTAATCTCATACTCCGCCGTGAGCAGCTGCTCTGCAATCTCCTCCTCCGTCAGGTTCGGGTCGCGGATCGTCTCGGCCAGCAGCCCAATCGTCGTGGGCACAGCGCCGTTGAAGCTCGCCGCCTGGTACATCATGCTCTCGCGGGAGCTCGCGCACTGGATGCTGCCGCCGAGCGCCTCGACCTGCTCGATCATGTCGTCGGCGGTGCGGCCCGAGGTGCTCTTGAACGCCAGGCGGTCCATGATGTGGCTTACGCCGCGCAGCCCGGCGTCCTCGTACCGCGAGCCGGCGTCGACGTAGACGCCCACCCCCGAGAAGGAACCCGGCAGCGCCTCCGAGGCGACGCGCAGGCCGTTGGACAGCGTCGTGATCGCGTCGAGGTCCGTCGGTTCCTTGGGGATGGCATCGATCTTGACGTTTTTCGGGCCGCGGGGAGGGGCCTTTAGTGTTGGTGGTGTTGTTGATAGTGCCCGGGTGGTAGTGGCGCGGAGTGCGGAAGTGGTGAGTCTTGAGGCCGGCGCCGCTGCGGCGACGGTGCGCCGCGGGAGGCGCGTCGCTAATGTTCGAAGCATCGCGATGCGTGTTGTGTGTATGGGTGGGAGTATTCGAATTCGTCAACCCGGGGCGGCGGGGAGGAGAGTTGAGGTTGAGATGGCGGGTGGGGGTGGGTTTTCCGCGATGGCGAGGGCCTGGGAAAAGTTCGCTGCTCTCGGAAAGCTGGTTTGCTGCCGCCCGGGAATTCTTGATCTTCCTTATCGGTCTTATCGCCATCGGAGGAATCGGGACCCTGGCCAGCCGCGTGAGCCAATCAGCGACGAGCCGTTGCATGCGGCTGGAAGACGTCATCCGGACCCTTCTCCTCGTCCTGCTGACAGCCTCTTCCGAAGGAGCGAACCTCGAGACATACTAGATGAAATAAGCATCTTGGCCGTCTTTTTGAGATATGACTGATCCTGAAGATGACTTCCTCAGGGGCATCTCATCAGGGCTGGCCCTCAGATGCGGCAATGAGCACCATTCAGCTGCACATCGGATGGTACGAATAAGTGATGGGAGTGACGAATTTTGAAAATCTGGTGGCTTATGCCGTGTTCTCGCTGTATTAATGTGATGCTATAAATGACCTCCGGAATGCCAACGCTCCATGGTCATATAAAGCCGTCGCTGTTGGATGAACCATTCTCAGCCGCCCAACATTCCTTGCCCCAGCCAGCGCCGCAATGAAAAACAACCCTGTTCCGGTTTAGCGAGCAGAGTCCGCTCCACAATGCATCAAAACGCCTTACACCATCCTTCGCGTCGCTCATGCAGCCGGTCTCTTCCTAGACTCCGTTGATGAAGCCATTTCAATATCCGTTAACATCAAACTTGAATCCCGCTTTCGGCAGCCCGTGACGGACTTATCATGCCGGGACCGGTTCTACCGGTCAACGTCCATCTCTGCAGCCTCGTCAAGGCTTCTCATCCCGTTGGCAGCTTCCGCAGCACGGCGACCGGCGCTTCCATCAAATACCCATGGCCCGGCGTCATTACGCGGGGTAATGGGACCTTCAGTACCGTTCGTCAAGTGGTTTCCAATGGGGGAAGGCGTCCGGGTGTCACGGCCAGTACGTGGAGCGGCCGTTTGCGATGGCCCGACCGAAGGAATCGGGACAGGTTCGATAGTGGCGTGAGGTGCAACCGATTGCGGCGGAGGCATCTCAGCCATGGTGCGGGCACGATCCAAGGCTACAGTGAAATCCATGGCATCTGGCTCAGTGCCGATCTCGGGCAACACAGGCCGCGAGCTTTCTGCAGACACCGGTACGGGGGCGGGTAGAGGCTCGCTTGGGACTACGGCCTTGTCCTTGGCCTCGTCCTTCTGCTCAAGCTCCTCGTCTTCGTCCATTTGCTCCCAGTCTTCTGCGGGATCCTCAATGTCCGCCTCCAAATCGGCAGCCATGCGGCAGTTCGGACACACGAAAATGGGATATTGTGGGGAATTCAATAGAGAGCGGATGCACTTAAAATGCCAGGTGTGTGAGCATGGCGCCACGAACAGGCACTGGCATGGCTGAAAGATCGTTAGTCTCTATGCTGGCACGCGATGTGGGGAATCAATGCATGCATGCCGGCCACATACCGCGATTGAGTTGAGACAAATGGAACAGTCCTGGGTCGACGAAGAATTTGCCGAGTTGGCAGAAGTCATATTTCGTAGACGCTTGTGTGTTGCCATGCTATACCACGTTAGTGCATGAACACGACTACATACGGCGGAAAACATACTTGAAAGTGTTGAGCTTGTTTTGCCAGCCACGGTTAAGTTCCAGCCTCATTTTCACGCAGCGAAAAATCATTTCCTCACCGCCCTTGAAGTCTATACCCAACTGCACGATGTCGCCATCGTTAACGGGGAACGGCTTCGACTCCGTGCCGGGAGGGCTGAGGCGGATGTGGTTGAGGAAAGTGCCCGAGGAACTTTTGACGTCTTTGATGTACCATTTCCCATCCTCGTACCAAAATTCGCAGTGTCGTCGACTGACAACCTTGCTCTTGAAGCCCACGGGGGCGGCCGAAGGGGTGTTGGCAGGCACGGGCGGCTGGTTGTCTCGCTCCGAGTAGCGGCCAACCCGAATGATCTCGTTGCCGCCAGGCAAAGTTCGCGATACGGGCGGGAACGTCAGGCTCGGGCGCGTTGCGCGGGGGTCGTAGTAGGCCGAGAAGCGGATCGAGGGAAGGCTGTCGGGCACAGGGGACGATGCCTTGGGCACGGCGTCGCCCGTCGTGGAAGCGCGTGCTCTCGTCATGTTGGCCGGTTCGGTATCGACGTGAGGCTGAGATGGCTGCCCAACTTGCGGCGCGGATTGAACACTGCTGCTACTGCTGCTGCTCGCGATGGGGTCGTCGAGGAGGGTCGGGAGCGCATCAACTTGCGGTCGCTCCACGGCTGGCGAGGAGGGTGTGGTCGAAGATCTGTTTGCGGCAGAGACTGACGATGGGGGCTCCTGCAGCGAGGCGACAAGGGAGAGCGGGTTGAGGTTTGTGTCGGTGTCAGCACGACGAGGGGCCGATGTGGGCGAGTAGCTGAGGGAGCGGTGCAGGCTCGGGGTCGGACGAGCAGCAGAGGTGCGGGAGTTCTGGGTTTGGCTTTGAGTTTGAGTTTGGGTCTGAGAGTGTGGGTGAGAGTTGGTGTTGGTGTTGTGGTGAAAGTGGGAGTGGGCGTGGGAATTCGAAGTTGGAGAACTGGAACCCTGACTGCTGTGCTCCCTGGAGAGCAGGTGATTTTGGGTGTAATTGCGGAGATAACTAAGGCCTCGCAAGCGACTGGACCGCGCCGAGGGCGAGGTGGGATTAGTGACAGACGTCGGCACGGGGCCCACGGTTGGTGGCGATGAGACTGGTTGTGTAAACATTTGAGCCTTCGAGGGGGGTGAGAAGTGGGCGGCGGGCTGTATTGGTGCTGGTCCTTTTTTTTCGCCAAAGGGCCCAAAGGGTTATGGCAATGTAATCAGAATCAGGTAGTGGCAGCAGGGCCGAAATGGCAGGTAAGCAGGCCAAGTTGGTAGTGTGTTGCAATGGTGCCGACTCGACTCGTGGGTTTCGGGTGCTGGCTGGCTGAGTGACTAGCAGGCAGTAGGCGGTTTGCTTGAACCACTGGGCTGATGCGAGTGCTTGCGCCTAAAGCAAGATGGACAGGCAGCGGTCTGTCTGGTGGTATGCCGTTGGTGCTGGCGCTGGTGCTTCCCTGGACTCAGAACAACAGCCAAGACACGATGCTGGACGGTGGACTTGTTTGAATTCTCTTGGGGGTCTTTTTCGGTATCCGGGCAGGGTTGAGAAAGAGAGTAGGGGTATCAAAACAAGAAATAAGAAACCCCAGGGCGACGGGCGACTTGACGTCTGACGAAAGGGGGAGGGCAGCGGGTGGCAGCGAGGGAGTGAGCCAAAGGCTAAACAGGCTACGCTGCAAGCATACAGCAGAGGCGGTTGCTTGGAATGTCGCGGATTGTCCCCAGAAGCAGGGCGGTCACCTTAATTCGCAAGCGTAAGGCGCAAGGTAACACGGGCGAGGGCGAGACGGGGGAGGTTGGACGAAGGGACGAAGGAGAAATCGTCGAAGAGATGAGAGGGAGGGAGGTCCGAGAGACTCTGGGAGGAGGTGGTGGTGACGGGCGGTAGATGATATTATGGACCAGAACCAAGGACCTGCTACCATAGACGGACCAAAGTCGGTAGACGAGCGAGCAGAGCAGGTGGCGGCCGGGATTGGCGAGACTAGGGAAAGGCGGTTTCCTTAGTCTGGGTCGCCGCCGCACGCCTTTTTAGAATTGGATGTGCCTGGTGCTGGTCCAGCTTGTTTGCTGCTTCAGGTTCCGAACAGAGTTGAACCTGGGAGACGCAGAGGCAAGAAGCAGAAATGCTGCTTGCTCGAGATGCAGCTGGAGCTGGATGTCTGTGGTAATATGGGCTGGATTGGGGAAGGGGCCAGTACTTTGGTCGATGGCCAAGAAGACGGGCGTCGAGTCCTTTTTTTCTCCTCTCTCGCTCTCTTCTGCTGTGTCGTTGCAGGCGTCAGTGGCAGTCCCTGTCGGGGCAAGTGCGTATGCGTAGGGAAGGGCCCGGACAGCAGGATGGACTGGGCGTGCAGGCGCTGTCGGTGAGGTTACCTCGAGAGCGGGCGAGGACTGCTCTGAATCGAGGTGCCTCCTGGCGGGAGGCGGGAGACAACCGGCGGTTGCAAAGAGCTAGGAGGGTGTTTCTCGCGTGCGTGCTTGACTTGGCAGGGCAGCGAGAGGTCTTGGGCTGCTTGCAGGAGAAGGAAGGGTGATGCAAATCGAATGCTCGGGTGTGTTGTTGTTGTTGATGTGATGTCGATGTTGCTTTCCTGCCGGCGGTCGATGAAGCAACAGCAACTGCAAGGGCCTGAACAGGACGGGATGGGTATTCGTTCAGAAGGAACAGAACACGAGTGGCCGGGTTGGGTCCAGCCCAGTCGGTCAGGTTTTCTTTGGCGCGCGTGCCACTCTTTTGCCCGGCGCAGAGGGGGGCGTCGATGGAGATAATGACGACGTTCGAGGCAAGCAGGAGGAGATGCAACGAGGGCCAGGACTCCAGGACTCCAGGATTGTCTCCCAGACTCCCAGAGAGGGTGCAGCCTCTGAATAATTGCAGGGAAGCCTGGCACCCTAGGCAGAGGGTCGCTTTCTTTGCCTTGGGTTTAGCCCGGTAAACAGAGGCCGGGCTAGGGCGAATTGGTTTTTGATGAGCAGGGGTTAAGGTTGCGGCCGCGATGGGATTGGACGCTGGCGGCGGGCAGCCCTGGTCGGGGGTGGTTGACTGCTGCTGCGGTGGTCGCTCGCCGGTTCGGTGGGTGGTGGTGAGGGGAGGGGAGGGGATGCCGTGACCGAGGGCGACGGTGCTGGTGATGTTGATGATGATGGTGGTGGCTCCCGATGATGGCAGATGTCCGGGAGGTGGCCGTCTGCCTGTCTCTTGTGTCGACGATCACTGACGAATCCCCGAGCCAGAGCAAGGACCCTGGAACCGACGGGAAGGTCTGGGTGGAAGTGGCAGCCGTGTGGCATGTACCTGCGTACCTTGCACTAGGACGCACCTCAGTAAGAGCACGGAGCCTCCATCAGGTAGGTACTTTGAATATCTATCCGTAGTACTGCATAGCATCTACGACGGATATGTACCGTCCTGCGCGTGAGATTTGTTGCGCGTGCATCGGTGCACCAAGGCATCAGTGCTCCAGACGAGCCGCTGCCATCGAGCTGTACAGAATACCCGAAGAAGCAACGGGAACAGAGCAGCTGGGTGCGGGATACAGGGCATGGCCTGGTCATGTGCGTCAAAGGTCTCAGTCTCAGCTCGCTCCGGGAGGCTGGGAGAAAAGAAAGGAAAGCTCTGGTTCTGGTTGTTGGCGGAGGGAAGGCGCCGCAAGCGGACAGCACCTGCCTGCCTACCTACCTTACGAATAGGAACCTCAGGCTGTCAGTGTAGGTCAAGTCAAGTCTTTCTCTCAAAACAGGCAGGGGGACGAAATAAGGTATCCCAGGTAATCCTGAGCCGTGCGCACTGCGTAGTACGTAAGGTAGGCAGGTAGGTATCTACGAGGAGATGGAAAGAAGCTCCGAGCAGGCATCGGAGGTACACCGGCCCATCGGTGAGGGATCACGGAAAGATCTCAGATGGAGCGAGGCAGGACCGAGCATCATGCACCGCTGCACCTTCCTCCGCGGCAATCTGGGAGCGACTTTGATTCGCGCTTCTTTCTTGTCTCGCCTGTTGCGATTCGACGGAGAGCACAGGGCACGGGGCTGCACCACGAGACGACGAGAAACGTCCATCATGTCGAGGCATGCAGCTGCAGCTATCGCTTTCTTCACAAAACCCACGATACTTTCCTTCCCGCGCTTCCCGTCACCCGTGGAATGCGGCAGTCTCCGACCCTCTCCTCTCTCCTCCTCCTCCTCCCCTCGTGCAACCAACCAACCCTCTTTCCCTGTTTTAGATGTCGTCAGATGCAGAAATCGGCAGAGGCGAAAGAAGGGTTCAATTCGTCTCACCTCACTGGCCGTTATTTCCGGCTCTGCCGTTGCCCATCTCATGCTCCACCGTCACCTCCACCACCACCATGGCACCAACCTCCATGCCCCCACGACACCCGCGGAACAAGATTCCCATCATCAGCTCATCTTCAACCTCATCCTTCCGCCCATCAGTCATCCAGTGTCCACCCATCGCGCCAATGGCGGCGTCAAGACTCAACCGCCCGCTTGTCTCCGGCCAACCGCACCGCTGTCACGGACGGGAATGATTCTGACATGCGGCCAACCATTCCCAGGGCACCAGCATCACCGGCCGCTTCGTTGGATCTGCACCTGCATGTCCGTGGGCCATGCTGACCTCCTATGGCGGGGCTCCCCGTGGACGCTTCGCCGTTGACACCACTCCCACATGAACTGCCCGCCTCCCAACGCCTGCACTGCGACGACAGGGACGACGGCGACGAGGATTGCCCTCGTGAGGTGATGGATGGCTGCTGCCCTTGAAGCATGAGGCCCTCCCACTTCCACTCCCACCTCAGGCACGCACCCGAGGGACCTAAATCTCCAGGGGGGTTCACGCTAGCGCACTCGCCCTCCTAGCGCCCTTTTCCCAGCGGGCTAGCTCCCTGATAGCGACCAACCCTCGCTGGAGCGCAGCGAGTGTACTCTAATCGCCCAGGCCCGTCCAGACGTCCGAGGCCCCACCACTCCCGTCCCTCACCACCACGTCCAGTCCCTCACCTGACGAGTCGAATCTTGCTGGTGCTGGACACCCATTGGACGCTCCTCAGATCCCCGCCGGAAGTCCAGCAAATGGCTGGGAATCACCACTTGGCCGCCTCATGCGGCTTCCACGACATCGTGGCTCCCTTTTTTGCCCCTTTCATTTGAGATATTCACGGTATCTCTTCGTCTCAACACTACCACCGTCGGAACGCTGCATGACTAAGGCAGATCCCCTTCCCGTTCATCTACCACAGTACATGGAAGCCAGCCGCCATGGGGAATCCAAACGTTGCTTCTCGAGCGTCCAGTCCACCATGACTCGTCCGGTCCGTCGTCCGCTCTCCCGAAGCATCCTCCGGCTTCCCACGGCGGCTTGATACATCACAAAGGAAAAAAGACCAGCAAACTCTGGAACGCGTCCGTTCCGCCTTGCCTCTGGCCCTCCACACTGACATACCGAGCCCCGTCTTGGCGCAACAGAGGCACAGTGAGGAAAAAATTCTAGAAAGCGTGGAGCACACTCAGAAACACGGGTCCGAACCCGACCCGGCACACCCGGCCTGCTGGCTCTTAGCAAGTTAGCAGAGTGTTCCTCGTCAACTGGCGGGGAATCTTCGCCTTCCGCCTCGCCTTGCCTCGCCACTGCACCCACTCGCCGCGAACAAACAAGACGCCAAGCCGCCCAACAACACAGCTTCATGCGTCCTCCGATTCTTCCCCGGGGCCGCGCCCGCGATGGATCCTTCGACTCCGTCCGCATCCCATTCTCGCTTCTTTGTGCGGACTTACCTCCGGAACCCTCTCGACTGTTCACCCCTCGCTTTCGTCTGATGTCTCCTAACCCAATCCGTTGCCCAGAGTCAGTCAGAACTAAAATCGTCTTTGTCCCAGCGAACCGGTCTGCCGGTTCAAGTCGAGATCTCTCTTGTCTGCCACGTCTGCTGCCGTTGCCGAACAACCAGATGAGATGTTGCATTCGGAAGTCTCCACCCACGCGGGCCCAGCACCGCGGCCGGTTGTCTCTCACCTCCGGCCAAGATTGGCGCGGTGGCCGTCTTGCCCTCCATCGTAGCTGCCCCTAGGGCGTCGCAGAACCTGAACCTTCTGCCAGGTCTGCCATCCGCAAGCATCTGTGCAAACTATATCTGCACAAAAGGACGAACTTGCGTCGACCGATTTGGCGTCGTCCCCGGACAAACATGTTCAGAGCCCAACGCACACCATGTATATTCGGACCGTCAACTCCAAAGCTTTAGAGCCATCACCCAGGGGCCGTCCCCAGAAACCTACCTGATTCGTGACGTCCTCCCGTCCATCCCGCCCTGGGTCCAACCTGGGACCCTCCGTTAATGCTCTCTGTCAGAGGACGCACTTCATTCACCCAAGTGGCCTGATATCCTCCGCGTCAAACGTGCCAAACGGGAGGATCGTCGCCCATCGATCTGCGTTACCTGGAGCGCTTGCCCATGTTCTGGCGTCGACAAAACGATCCACAACGCTAGCCTCACGAGTCCGATCTTGGGAGCTGTTGCTTGTCTCGTGTGGCGTGCCCACGTGTGGCCCCCTCACGCGACCTTCAGTCCTCTATTTCTCTTTCGCTCTCACTTAGATGAGAGCAACATTTACATGAACCCCGCGGGCGATGTAAGACACTTCCAAAGGCAAACAAGTATCAAATCGCAAGCAGAAACACAGCCCGCGTGCCTGTGCATGCATATCGTGAACTTGCAATTAATTCTGAAGGCGAGAGCGAAGCCAAAAAGACCTGCGTCTCCGACAACTTTGAGCTCGCCTCATCTCGGGCCCGAGTCCTGTTCGGGCATAACGTTTTTGCAGAACCAACCACCACCTCGCAGGACGTGGAGTGCACCACCAAGTATCCGCGGGATGACCCCGGTCAACGCCCAACGTGCCCAGCCTACCCCGGATTGACCCCGGACAACAGCCTCAATGCGACGCCAACACCCAGAGAAATCTTGGAGCAACCACACCACCAATCATCACAGCCGGCGACCTCGCATCACCGCAGCATCATCATCATCGTTGTTGCACCTTTCCAGATCCTCAGATTACGTATGTATATCGAGATTAGCGAACCACACCGGCCAACCGCTACCACCCGTCCCATGTGCCATTCTAAACGCATAAGTTGAATAAAATAAAGAGCAATGCTTGCTGTCCTTCATCCGATCCCACTCGATCGATATCAACCACCGTCACCGACACCTCTGAAGATAATGCAAACTCGCCTCGTCGTGTGAACGCTGCCATGATCATGTCGTTGCAACTATGGGTGCATGCTACCTCCTGAACACGGCAGCCCCGAGCCTCTCAATCTCCCGGCCCTCCTGCGAGGTGCGCCCCGCGGCCTCGAGCAGCCGCGCCCACGCCTCGGCGTCCTTGAGCTTGACCGCCTCCTCGGCGGCCTTGACGCGCATCCCGCACTTCTCGTACATGGTGATGGTCGTGCCCGGTTCGAGGCCGGTGCACTTGGCCACGAAGACGGAGGCGAGGCGGGGGTTGCCTGCTTGTAGCGTGAGGTTATAGAATGGCTGTTGTCCAAAGGTCAGCAACCCGTAGATATCAATAGTGATTAAACAATGAGAGAGAAGGAAAGAATGTAGACTCACCTCCCATCCGATCGGACTCCTCCTCGTCTTCGCCAGCTCCTCAATCTCAGCCCAGTCCCGCTTCGCGACCAGCGCCCGCAGCCGGATCCACCAGGCCACCTTCTCCGGCACCTTGAACTCGCTCTGGATGTTCTTGGCGCGCTTGTGGTAGCCCAGCCGGATGAGCTTGAACATGGTCTCGTTGACGCTGAGCCCCGTGAAGGTGTCGGTCAGGTCGCGGTCGAAGGCCTCCTGCATCTTGAGCAGGGTCTGCGCCTCCTTGAGCGCGTGCACCTCGGCGGCGGCCTCGCGCGAGTCGGCGAGCAGCTTGGCGGCGAGGGCGAGCTTGTCGGAGGCGGTGCGCGCGTCGGGCTGGCGGAGGGCCTCGCGGAGGAAGACGGCGGCGCCGTCGACGCGGCGGTCGTCCTGGTAGTAGAGGTCCTTGAGGAGGGCGTTGTCGCCGTCGTGGGCGGCGGCGGCCTCGACGAGGGCGGTGGCGGTGGGGCGGGCGTTGATGACGCGGAAGAAGGCGGCGAGGGGCAGCTTCTTCTTGAGCTGGAGGAGGACGCCGTACATGAGGTCCGTGTCGCCGCTCTCGACGGCCTTGTCGAGGGCGAGCTCGTCCTCCTCCATGGAGAGAAGCAGGGGCACCTGGCGGCCGCCGCGGGGCTCGTGGTTGAGGAGCTCGGTGGCGAGGCGGGAGCGGCCCTCGTCGTAGGCGGCCCGGGCGATTTCCTCAAAGGAGATGCCGGGCTTGCCGGCGAGGCGCTCGACGACGAGGCGGCAGATTGTGTCGTCGTCCTCTGCGCCGGAGCGGACCTTGGCGCAGGCCCAGTGGACGTAGATGCGGTCGGTGGGGAGGCGGAGGTAGGCGGCGACCTTGAGGGCGAGGAGGTACTCGTGGCGGGAGACGAGGCGCTTGAGGAGGCCCTCGGGGGTGAGGCGCTGGTACTGCTCGAAGGAGAGGGGCAGGCCGACCTCGAAGAAGCGGACGGCGTTGAGGACGCGGAGGGTCTCGCACATGTCGACGAAGTCGTCGCTGTTGTAGATGTCGAGGACGGACTTGCCGAAGGAGGCGGCCTTGAGGAGCTGCTTCTGCCAGTGGACGGAGAACTCGCGACCGGCGGCGTTGACGCAGGTGTCGACGGCCTCGGTGAGGTTGGCGCGGATGAGCTGGATGTAGTCGTCGGCCTTGGGGGACTGCAGCTCGAGCTGGCCGACGGCGTCGAGGAGGATGGAGGCCGGGGAGGACTCGGCGCGGGTGCCGAAGACCTGTTCCGTGGCGGAGGGGACGCGCTCGAGGAAGTCGCAGACGTCGTTTGTGATGAGCCTTGCGCCGTCGTGTTCTGTTTGTGTGTTAGTTCTCATGAGTCTGTGGTGAGATGTGTATGAGGATGAAGTTGACCTGATATGACATGTACCCTGCCGTCGTAAAAGAACTCCGCTGAGGCGTTATCCGCCCCGATGATGTGCACCTCGTCCTCCCACGCAATGAGCGCGTCGGAGCCGCACCACGCCACATACTTTGGCGGGATCTTGCTCTCCGAGTCGTGCTCGATCAGGCGCTCCTGGAAGTCGCTCGAGATGACGTGCGCCTTGCCCGTCTTGGTGTACAGCGCAATCAGGCGTCCGTCGGGCGACACGCTGATGTCGCTGAACGGCCCGATGTCCAGGAAGCGGTCCTCGTACTCGGCCGCGTCGACGACGTACACCGTCTCACCGATGCTCAGCAGCACCTCGACGGAGCGCGAGAGCGTGTGGTCCGGCGCGACGACGGCCCAGCTGTGGATCTCGCCCTGGCCCTCGGGCGGCTGGGCCAGCAGCCGCGGGCGCGGCTCGGCGTACGAGGTGACGGAGACGAGCGCGTTGGAGGCGAGCAGGGCGACCATGCCCGTCTCGTAGAAGCGGCAGCTCACGACGCCGAAGTCGTCGGCGCCGTTGCCGAGGGAGAACTGGGTGAACTCGCCGAGCAGGTCGTAGACGCGCACGACGCCGTCGGCGGTGACGACGAGCAGGCGCTCCTCGCCGCCGCCGAGGGAGGCCCAGCCCAGCCCTTTGATGGCGCCGGATCCCTGGTCCCAGGGGATGTGGCGGAGGAGCTTGCCGGCGTACGAGTAGATGTCGATGCCGGGCTTGTTGGAGGCGGCGGAACCCCCCTTGGGGCGGTAGGCCTGGAGTTTTGTGTCATCGCGCAGGAGGGCGAGGGCGCCCGCGTAGGGGGCGCCCGCGACGAGGTGGTTGTCGAGGTCGAGGTCCTGGTCGAAGACTTCGGTGTAGAGCTGGATCTTGCGGTACCACTTGTCGCCGACGTTTTCCCATCCGGCTGAGGGGTGGGCGGTTTCCATCATGTCATTGTATTCATTTGCACCCTTTCCCCAGCGTTCCTTCTGATTCTGTCGCTTGAGAGACTATTGAAGCTGAGTTTGAAACTGTTGATGTTATGGTGGCTGAGTGAGATGGGATATGAGATGAGCAGGTGTGTCGTGAGTTGAGCTCAGAAAGCTCCCGGAGCTCGACTGTCGTTGCTGGAGCTCCAACCCCCAGCGAACTGGAGCTTGCGCCACGAATCAGTCGCCCGAGCCTCAAACTGGAGCCTGCCTGCCCGGGGAAAGGCGGCTAATCTCCGGGCTTGAAGAAAGCTGCTGCGTCATCATCCCCCACCAACCACCGATAAGACAATCAGCAGCAGCCCAAGCAAAGCAATGTCCCCTCTTCCGCTTTGCTTGAATCAGCCCGTCGCATCACCCGCATGTTCAGGCCGCCCCGGGAACAGGTCTGGCTGTGGAATGCAGCGCTCCTCATGCACCAAGCCGTCCATTGCACCAATTTGTTTGACCATACTCCAAGTGATTCTTCCATCCCCTTTGTAGGACATTTCCCATAATTCGGGGGACCACACCTGTTCTGTTTGCGTCCGTCAAAAGCGACAGATGAACTTCTAAAACCCCCCTGACATCCCATCGCTCTAACTCCTCAACCAAAACCACCACAAAATGCCCGACTGGCGCACCGAATATCTAGCCTCCTTCAGGGAGCAAGAGAAGAACAACCCAGTCAACCTCGAGATCGTTCAGCTCTGTACCTCTCCCTTGAACGCCCTTCCTCCCTTCGTGCGCTAACCACGCCCTCTCCCTTCCCACCAGGCTCCCAACTCTCCGACCGCATCGCAGCCCTCGAAGCCGAAAAGGAGCTCCTGAAATCCAAAATCGCCCCGAACACCACTGCGTCCACAGGCAAGGAAGCGCCGCAGCAAATAGACACAATCAGCTCCGACCCGACCGTCACGCAGCTCCAGCTCAACCTCGCCGAGGCGCTGCGCTCCAACGGCACGCTGCAGAGCCGCGCAAAGACGGCCGAGGACGAGGCGCAGACGCTGCGCCGGAAGAACAGGGAGAACACGAAGCAGATCAAGCAGCTGAGCGCTGAGAAGACGGCGCTGGCGACGAAGCTGCAGGACCGCGAGCACGAGTTACGCGAGAAGAGGAAGCTGGTCGAGGTGAGCAATACTCGCACGAACCCTGACGAGCGGATGGGGAGAAGGGTGACGATTGCTGACTCGCGGCGCAGAATGTGCAAGACGAAATGATCACGCTGAACCTCCAGGTGGCGATGGCGGAGAAGGAGAGGGACAAGGTGAAATCGGAAAACAAGGAGCTGGTCGACCGGTGGATGAAGAGAATGGCCCAAGAGGCTGACGCCATGAACCTCGCAAACGAGCGCTGACGATGCGGTCTATTTTTCTTGTTTGAATACCCGGCAATACCCACAACCTCGCGCCCTCTTACGAAGCTCTCTGTCTCTGCGCCTCTCTGCTCTCGCTCTATGGGAGTATCAAAAAAAAGAAGATTCTACAGGTAATGAACCCAACGCTATTTCCTCACCCTATGCCAATAATGTTTTCTGCTTTCGCCGCCTTCAATGTACAAATGCATCATGCATCCAGCAAATGCCGTTCCCCCCTTTCTAGAAGACAAGTCCCGTAGGACATCATACAACGCTTCGATGTATGCTGACAAGGAATGCCTGGTAGTCTACTTCTTGGTCGAGATGCAGTACGAACCTCCGGCGTTCGTCCACGAAACGTAGCCTTGGCCGTACGTGAGATGCTCGACCTCGAGGATGTTGTTGGCGACGTCATTCTGGTTCCGCGTGCCCTGGTCGTTCACAAACGACTTGAGCGAGATGATCTTGCAGCCGGTCTTGAGGTCGAGGAACATGTTGACGAGCGCGCTGTTGAGCTGGGGCGTGAACGCCTGGTTGTTCACCAACAACACGTCGGCGCGCTTGAGCGCGTCATGTATCCTAGTATTCTTAGTGAAGTCGCCCCGCTCGAGTCTGACTCGGCCGGGCAGCAGACCCCACATCTTGCAGCGGGCACCAAACTCCTTCTCCTGGGCTTCGGCGAAGTCGCATGGGTTCTCCATCATCTCGCAGCCCCAGCTCTCGCAGCCGATCTCGAGGGCGGCCTGGAAGACGACGTTGCCCACGCCGGAGCCGAGGTCGATGAAGACCTGGTCCGATGTCATGCGGGTCTTTTCCTGCAAGACCTCGGAGATGAATAGCTCTCCTAACTCGCCGTACACGTTGTCGGTGCCGTTTTTGTATTGCTTGAGCTTCTCCACGTTTGGTGAGACTGTGCGCTCGTATACCTGGCGAAGAATAAAGTGTACCATATCGCGCGGCAGTCCATGCATGTTGTCCAAGTTCTTGCGTATTGTGCCGTCAGCGGCGAGGGCACGGATCCTCCTGTTCGCATCTTGAAGAGCTGTCTTGAATCCACGCAAGTCGTTGGTATTTCTGGCCCTCGTCAGCCTGCGAATGATGCCGGTGTCTGGGTCGCGAAATTCCTCCGCCTGCTTCTCGGTGAGGTACACATCGGCGACGTGCTGCACCACCTTCAAGATGTCCTCGATCGAATTAATCTTGTCCGCCTCCCATATCAGCTCATAGCTAATGACTCGTCAGCAAAACGCAAAGTGGCCGGTTTGGCGCAAAGCTTGTGAACTCACTTCTCCGGCCCATACATGCTCGGATACTGCAGCCTGACTCTGACGTCGTCCTGCTCCGTGGCCCCGAGCACGCGCATGGCCTTGGGACAGGTCTTGAGGTTCGTGAGGTCGGCGGCGTGGATCAGCCTGCTCAGGTCCCGCAGGCCCTCCTTGAAGGCGCTGGCGCGGGTGAGCACGCGCTTGGTGTCGACGAGCTGGCCATCGGCGAGACGCTGGCGCTTGTGGGGCACCTCGAGGTTCGTGAAGTCGCCCTCGACGTCGCTGTCGGAGTCGCTGTCGAATTTCGGTTGTGAGGGCCCCGCGCTGTCGACCTTGCGCTTACGCTCGACGGAGCGCTTCTCGTCGGAAGAGGACGGGTACGGCGAGGCGCTCTTCTTGCGGGCGAGGAGGGCCTTGTTGACGGGGGGGTTCGGGGAGGCGCGCGGGGAGGCCTTCGCGGAGGAGGCGGCGGAGAGGGAGTGCGGGAGCTTGGGGCGCGGCTTCGGCGGCGCGGCCCTCGTTTCGACGCGGATGTTGGGGGGTTTGGCGGCCTTGCGGCCGAGGATCGGCATGGCGACGGAGGTTGGGTGCGACGGGCGAGCGTCGGCTTGCTGGACGGGGGAGTGAGGTTTGCGCGTGACCTTTGGTCGGGGAGGCAGACCAGGTCGTGTGCAGTTTTCAGGCTGGCGCTAGGCAGAGGCGGGGGTTAAAATGCATGCGATGGTGGGATGGAATCGCCGTCGAGAAAATATGCAGTCGTAGCGAGTGGATGCTCTCTGACAAGGCCGGATTCCTTGGTGTCAAGGGCCGCGGAGCATGGCAGCTGGGAGGAGACGGCGGTGGTGGTGATTGATGATCGGTGGGGAGGGTTCGGGACGGAGGGAGAGGTTGAAGGTTGAGTGAGACGAGACGGACACGAGGCGATTTTTCGGGCGAGGACGTGGACCTGCCGCCCGGGACGTGACTGTGGGAAAAGTGGAGCGCGCACCTGGGACCGTGGACCTTCGTGACCCAGGACCCCGAAACTCTGGGAATTGCCCGGCTGAACGGGGCACTTTCGCCTGTTGGGATGGGTTACATAAGGCGGGTTAGGTGAAATGCCAGACGAGAACACCAGGAAGAGGGAGCGAGGAACTGCACCAGTGACCAGAACCAGAGAAACAAGAGTCATCCAGCCCACCCCTTTTTCCCTCTCGCTGAACCAAGGCAAAAGACGAGAGGCAGGAAGCAGGCGAAGAGCGGCGCAGGCAACCAGGAAGGCCCTGGGTCGCCGGGGGTGGCCACCTCACTGCGCAGCGAACTCGCCTCGATGCAGCCTTGAAGCCTCGCATTGCAGCAGCCCGCGTGCCCCGGCTCCAGTCGCTGGTTCCCTCCAGTTGGGGTCCGTCTCGCCAGTTCAATCGCTGCCCTCCGAACCGCCGGCTGCACCTGCTGAGTTCCGTCCCCACTTCCAGGACCCACTGCGGATGCCGCATCAGCCGACCTCGTTGGACCAGATGCGTCTGTTTTGATTGGCTGCATGTAGCGGGAGCCATAGGCCCTGAAAGGCGCGCTGCAACTTCCAAGCTTTGGGTCCTGGCGCCGCTGTCATCCAGTGTCACCTTCCCGCTCGCTGACACATACATACACACTCCTTCCGGGAAACCGTTGTGCATCTCAAAAGTCTTTGATTTAAGCTTGTCTCAAAGTGACATTCGCGCAACCATCATCTGTCATCAATGGTCTCAAACACTCGTCATCGTCGGAGGGAATATGAGATTGACATGCAGGAAAAAGAAAATGCAGTCGACATGCGGCGAGAGATCGTGGAAAATGCACATCCGTCGAGAGCTTGCAACATCTCTATTAGAGACCACCTACTTTTCCTATGCTAGAGTGACAACCTTTGCTGTGTGCTCGCTATTTCCGTTGCCGGTATAGTCGCTATTATCATTACTGTTGTCGTTACCATTGTCGTTGCTGTTATTGTCGTCCTTCGTCGTCGTCCTTCGTCGTCGTCCTTCGTCGTCGTCCTTCGTCGTCGTCCCTTCTGTCGTCTATCTCGTTATTGTTATAGTCGATACTATCGTCTTCAGTAGGAGTACACAAGTGCACAGGAAAGATGGCCGCGGGCACTGGAAAATTAAGGCGGTCTATTCTATCTGCACATATCTACCCAATACACATGTCTTTCCAACCTCATCCCAATACAGCTTGGAGAATCGGATAATACCCCTGGTACAGCGCGCAACGTGCATCAAGAAGCGTGCTATTATACGGCGTCACAACCGCCTTATCATTGCCGACATCGCCCAGAACGACCACGTCAAGAGGAGCGGCATCCGAGCCAACAGCCGCCCACCCGGGGCCGTTCGTCGGCTCCTTGACGAACCTCGCAAAGGCGTCGCGCAGGTACTCGTACACCGCAAACTGCTGCGGCGTGTAGTTCGACCTGCCGGGAATGCTCAGCAGCAAGAACAGGTCCGACCCGTGGAACACGCCAAGAAAGCCGAGATTGTCGGGCACCATGTTCAGGATGGTCGTGTTGAAGTAGTACCGCCACGTCGGGATGTCGAGCGAGACGGCCGTCTGCGCGAGTAACGCGGCCGGCTGCGACCATCATGTCAGCACTTCAACATCTTCCACCTAATTTCCAAGGATGAGGGCAGAAACTTACACACTGAAAGACGTAGTCGGTATAAATCGCAGCCGCGATGTCAAAATCGGTAGTCAGGCTCGAATCCGCCCGGTACGACGCCACAATACCCTCCCTCGCCGCCGCCGTCACGAGCGTGGGCGGCAAGTACGTGTTGAAGAACAAATCGAGCGTGATCCCGTCGTTGATCAGCCCGCGCCCCTCCTGCGCCACCGTGCCCATGAGAAGCGGCACCTGCGCGACCTGCCCGCTCTCCCACGCCTCCACGGGCAGCGACGGCAGCGTGACGTTGTCGCGCTCGGGGCCGGTCAGGATGCCCGTCGCGCGCTGCGCGTCGACGAGGGCCTGCGCGGGCACGCGCCGCATGCACTCCAGCACGTCCGTCGCGTTGGCGCAGCCGACCGCCGCGGCGATGCCCGTCCACATCGTGCCGTTGGTGGGGTAGCTGGCCGCGGCGAGGCCGAAGGTGCTCTGGCCACTGAGCATGATGGCGGCGCGGAAGGGGGTGGGCGTGGCGGTGTCGTTCTCACCGTAGGAACGGAGGAGGTAGTCGACGGAGGTGGCGCCGGCGGAGTGGCCCCAAATCGTAACCTGGGACGGGTCGCCGCCGAAGGCGGCGATGTTCTTCTGGACCCAGTCGAGGGCGAGCCGTTGGTCGTAGAGGCCGAGGTTGCGCTCTGTGACGGGGATCTGGGAGGAGGCGGGGAAGCCGAAGACTGTGTGTTGATCAGCATACACAGAAGTCGGCCCTGATACGGTGATTCGAACTGTTATTTCTGTAGTTGAAAGCAACAGCGACAATGTTCTCGTACGCCGCAAAGGCGGACAGGTCGGCTCTGCCGTTGCCAATCTGGAACGCCCCGCCGGGGATGAAGACCAGCACCGCGCGCGAGCTGTTATTTCTACGAGACCTGTTTGCGGGTGCGAAGACGTTGATCTTCAAGCAGTCTTCATTCTCTGGCGCCGGCGGGTTATTGTAGAGCGCCTCCGTGACCTCGGGCCGAGTAGCAACGGCTGCGATCTTGTCAGTACATCTGCCCCCCAATTCAAGCGAGAAAAGTCGGGTTCCGTACAGTTATTGACAAAGTTCTGGTAGCACGACGCCCCGAACGCCGTCGCATTAAAGGGGCTCATCCATGGCTCCGGCGGTTGCGGCAGCGCGAATCGGACCGGCGGCGCGGCATATGGGATTCCGAGGAACTTGTTCACGACGTGCGGCGCATCGGGGAGGGACGTCGCCAGACCCTGCACCACGCCGGAGGATATCGTCGCTATTGGGAACGGCGACGGAAAAGGTGCCGGGAACTTTGGCGAGTTCGTGTCGTTGCCGTGCTTTGCTGTTGCCGTGGCAGCGGCGGCGAAGAGGAGAAGGGGCTGGTGCCGCATGCTGTTGAGTATCGCTCAAACCCTTAAGAAAGTCAGAAAAACTGCTCTTGTTGAGAGTGTCACAGCATGAGCAGACTGGATGCGTGGGGGAGAACCACATGACTTATAAGCACCGAACCACAAATGCAAAATGCCGAATCAACTAAGACATGATCTATCCAGACTACCACTACCGGCAGGTAGCAACGCAATAGCGCAGCGCATGACGAAAAGGACTCACAACTTCTTCGTGTTGTGTGTTGTTTTCGCCGAGAGGAGGGCCGTCTCACCTGCGGCCCGCTCGGCTGCGTGGATTGACCTCCCCGCGCGAGGATCGGCGCCAGGGAATCGGGGGCGGGTTGGGAGGCCCGGTCTAAAGTAGTGTCTTTCCAACGCAGCAGCGCTTACACGTATGCGCACTTGGCGTTGTTTACGGCCCGTTCGCGCTAAAGACAGTTGCCCCTTCTTTTCTTTCTTTTCTCGTTGACAGATCTTTCGTAGGGCGTCAGGCGTAGAGATAAGGGGTGGCTCTGGCTGGGTACGAGGAGGCCAAGCGTTGAGGATGAGAAGCTGACATGAGACATTGGTTTTTAAAGGCAACTCGCGCGTTTGCCTTTGGTAAAAGAAGCTCCATGGTTTCCGAGTACTCGGTTACACAAATTAGAGTAATTGGCGTCATGAGGGAGAATTATTGCCTGCGCTGAAGATTTCGAGAAATCCGAATCCGACGATGGGGGAATTGAGTTTCCGTTTTGCTCTCGGGTGCATTGGTGTGGGACGGTTGCCGAAGCTACACACCCATAAGAGTAGTAGTTCCTGGAAGTCTCGCATTGACCTCTGAGCGATTCGAGCTCCTAATGTTCGGCAAGGGAAGAGGATTAGAGTAGGATTAACCACAAATCTTTATTTGATAGCCGCCTGGTTCATTATCAACGCTGGTGGCTGTTACGTGAAGGAAGGGGCCGTGTGCTGGAAAACGTGGAAACCTCGCGGCTAGGAATGACAAGGATTGGGGTCGTGCGGTTTTTCGGTCCCGAGATATTGAGGCTGTTGATCGGATTTGTAGTTAGATTGTGAGGCTTTTACTGACATTACTGGGCATGTTTGCAACAATTTCAAAATCTAGGTTTTGTGGATGATAGGTAGCTTTAGAGTGCAGGAGACTACTATGACTGAGGATGGCGACGAACTCATTGAAAAGACGGAAACGAATTATGAAGTCCAAGCCTTCGACATCTTGGAGTAACAAGGTTATTTCTCATTGAGATTCACTTTGCGGGCGAAGGACTGCCTATGTTGGGGAGCTATCATTTCGTTAATGCAATCCACATCTACTATTATTCTTACCATCACTGGTATCTCTATGATGCCACAGTTGTCTCTGTCATATACTGACAACTGCTCGCATCCATGGACAGCTAAACCCTTATTCTTTGAGTGAGTATGTACGTCTCCTGGGAGGGGGGGCACATCCCGAAGTGGGCGCAACAAAGGGACTTCTATTCAGTTGCAGAACGAAACTAAATAATATACAATCGAAATAACTTTTATATACTTCGACTCCTTTTACACATAGCGTGAGGGACGCCTGTGGTTTTAGTGACGCGTCTTGCCATCCTGTTTCTACAGCTCGCATAACGATCAGCACTGTTGTCTTGGAGCAGACCGAGGGCAAGAAAGACTTACAGCCAAAGCACTTGAAAGAGCGGATTTTGCCCCATCCATAAGCCCTGAAGTCACTGCATCCATTGACCGCGCCATTAGTGTCGATAAACCTGCCCTGGCACCCAGGCTGGTCCCAGATGATGCATCTTCCGGCGCGCAAAATCACGGACGATGGAAGCAGCGACCCCGAGACGCATGCGCCATTGGTGGCGCCGCCGTTCTGGTACTCGCGGCAGCCCGTGCCGGGCATGTCGTTGTCGAACGTCATGCATCCGTTGAGGTTGGAGGCGCCCGTGATGGAGCGGTACCTCGTATTGCCGTTGGCACTGCAGCCGTTGACGTTGTCGTATGCGACGACTGATGCGATTGGGAGCTTCAAGTCAGCAAGAGAGTACTAGCCGGCAGAACGCAAGAACGGGAAGAAAGGCCAAGGGGAGGGCTGTCTTACCTTCCCATGCCTGAGAACTGGCGCACAGGGTAGCCAGAATGACCGCGCCAATGGTGGAGAAATGCATCTTGAGTTTTGGACGTAGAAGCAAGATTGGGGAAGCTGTCTGGAGTCTGGAGGACAGGAATCAATGCTCTTGGAGGAGAAAGAGCCTCGTATTTATAGTTTTGAGGATTGCGGTCAAGACACTTGATCCTAGTGAAATGGCTACAACTGCAGTGGGCTAGGATGGAAAAGATGAATCCATCTTATCCACAGCTATGCAGACTAAAAAGCCCCATAGCAAAGCGAGGGAGCCAATGTGAACCCAGACAGTCTTTTTCTGCAACTATACAGACATGATACGAGCTCAAAGCGAGCCATCCAATCACGACTCTGAGATGCGTTGCAAACCTTTCCCGAAAAGTCCGCCCTGCTAGTACCGCAACTCCAAGTTGGCTAGTGAAATAGAGATGCCTAATGCATATTTGGGCAACCAACTATGCTATCTTTTAATGTCTTGGTCGTGAAATTCGCTAATTTTAACCTTGCGTCCTTTGTGTCGGGATGAAAGTATTGCTGGCAGTGTATAAAATATACATTGCTGCCCCTGCCGTTATGTTGCATCATGCCAACTAAACTAAACCATACACTCGCGCCCATGCCGCTTTGAGAAGGTCTGTAACTTGGGACCGCCCACGTCGTGAGTTTGCCTTAGACATCAACGCATTAGTCCCTGGAGTATGCCATGCAGCAGTTTCTGGTCTCTCAGTGCACAAATGATGACAAAACGAGGGATGGGGCCGACGAACTATGGTCTCGACTAGGATATTCTCTCATTCTTCGAGGCGATGCTCAGATGTGGTAGCAAAACCAAGCTTGCAATGCAGCAACACGCAGTCCGCTCGAGATTGATATCTGAACAGTGAATGTCCGTAAGATTGGTATATATAGCCTATTTAAAGCGCGTCGTAGTGATAGTGAAGTTGCTCGCTTGTCAGCATTTCGTGTCTGTAGCATCAAAGCTTTCATATGCTTCCCGAACTGAACCGGGGACGTGATACAACGAGGGACCTCTTGCTTCATTGTTTTTGTCGGTGCGTACGTGCACCCTCCAATCTGGGTTTTCAGGAGATGCATACGACCCAAAGTCTTGCCAAAGTTGGAGCCGTAATTTGTCATCATCATCATACACCGTGACCAAGTAGTCAGTAGGGCAACGGCTACACGAGCCGTTAAAAGTTACTGCTGAATTAGAAGATGCCGTGGAAGCACTATGCTCAGAGTCAGCAATCTCATTGGACATTGCGCGTGACCAATGGCAGCGAACATCTCTGTTGGGACGGATTTCATTCCAGTAGATTGACATTGCATCTGTGTGAGGACAGACTCGCTTCGCAGCTAGCCCGAAGATGAAGTATGATGACTGGAAATCACAGTCCGTGAATTTCCAGTCCATGTACAGAAGAAATCTTCCGTCAACAATTCTTGGAACCGCTTCGTAGGTTCGTCGATCACTGCCCCATGAATCCGACCAACTGTAAGGCACCATGATTTCCACAAAGCGCTTGGCATAAGTCAACCCTCTCATTTGATGCTTCAAAGAAATCTGGACGTGTGAGTGATGAATGTCGCGCACACGTACGAGCCCGCGCCCTGGCTCCGAAGAACAGTCCGCTGGTGTTGGCCATAGTCCGCTGTGTGGCACACGTGATTCCGGAAGACGATGGAGGCTGCAACATTCATCGCACACCCAGTGATTACGCAAGATGTACGCCAATCCTGTCCAAAATTCAAGCTGTAGAGACTTTGAGAGCATGGAGACTTCGGTTGCCCAGTGTCTAAGAGTGAAGCTTCGCAAGACGGGATTGCTTTGTGACAGAATGAAAAGATCGTGTAGTTCGAGCTGGTCCGTGATGAGGAACAAAATGTCAAGAGGAAAGGTAAGAATATTTAGAGTATTTGAATGCTTCGCTTTGTCTCGGATGCGAACTCGTCGTTTCCTACCACGATCTTTCACGTGTTTGATCCATTTGAGACAGCCCATGATAGCTGGTCAGTAGCGAACTGAGCAGTTCAGTACGACCTAGGCAAAAGGGGCCTGCAGAAAGAACAAGTCGTAGAGTGCTATGGTGGTAAATGGGCAGGCTTTGGTCAGTTTCGTCCCCCACAACGAGTTATATAGGGCCTATGGGCTCCAAAAGACGTATTGATCATGTTACCATTAAGGTAAAGCCCACAAGGGTTTTCGCTCAAGACTCTTGGAACCTTATCCACGTGATCGATTCGCAAGTGCATGCATTATGTTCCCAAGTGTGATACGAGAGGCATTCATAAGCGCTTGAAAAAGAATGAAACCTAACGTTTAACAGTATCTAAACTCGACGCAGATGGACACTGCAACCAATTTGTACGGTTTATCTAGTTCATGGAAAACTTTGACCCCGACTCTACCGGGACGCTTCTTCCGACGGCACATTCTCCGTTATTCGGCACTCTTACATGGAATTTGATGCACCTTACGATTAGCTTCTGGAATGGGACGAAGGACTCAGCGCGGTTGCTAACAATAGACCTCCAGTGCTTACAGTCCACGCCAGAAAACATATGACGGCGACGACTCCTTTGATGGTCTCAACCTTCCACCAAGGTCCTTGGCAACCTTGCGAGACAGCTGCCAAAGTGGCTTAAAAGCCGGCTGCTGCCTCGCCAACATCCTTCTAGCAGCCAAATTCTAAGAGAAAGACTCTGCCTCGAAGACTCGAAGACTTTGCCTCGAAACCGTAAGTATCCCCAATGTCCGAAGAGAAGGACCCGTACCGTCAGGAGACTAAAACCCGTATTTAAGATAAAAAGCACTCTTTCGTCTCTCTCGGGCGCTAGGCAACAGCCAGCTTAAAACTCCGTTGGATAGCTACCTCCAGCTGGATAGTAAGCACGCAACACATCCGCGATTGCAACACGTCTCAAACCCTTACGTTTACCAGGCGCACGAGGCAGAACTGCTACCACTCCACTATCTATCTCCTTCGCCGACATCGAGCAGATATCACCGGACGCTACAGACTTAGCTATACGACACGACCCCGAAGTATTTGTCAAACCAGTATATGCCCACCAGCTCATGATCTACCTTATCAAGCAATATGACTTGAAGGTTATTAGTGGTAACCCTTGGCTAACCTATGAACACCAACAAGGGCAAATTTACGACCACACAATCTTTCAGGGGGGACATTTTACACAGCTTCGACGATGGACCGTGCAAAGAAATGCCTCGCCGTACTTGGCCGTATCATCGGCATCAAGAAGAGGAAACCGGAACGTGACACCGAGGTTCTGGTCGATACCAAGGCCGACATCAAGTTCGACGCCGAAACCAACGCAGAAGTCAACACCAAAGTCGCCTGCTGCGCGTGTACCTGCCATGGCCCCGAAGCCCATACAGCCCCTAAACGTAAATCGACATTAGGGGCCAAAAATGGATGGGTGTATCGCCCAAATTACGAGTTCCCCTGGAGACTCGCGCAGGTGGTAGAAGAGGAAGACAACTGGCGTGGAACGTGGGTTTTGGAAGTGAAGGACCTGCAGGCGATGGACTGGGGTACTACCCGCGTGCCCAAGACCGGTGGTCACGGACGAGGAGGGCGATATGAGAGGCAGCCGACGCGCCATATGCCTTTTCCGGTCGACGGGGTTGGGTACCGAGAGACGTTGACCGGAGGCCAGGACGACCTGATGGTGATGCTTGGGCGGCGATAAGTGCCATGACATGGGCGCTGCAAAAGCCGTTGCCACGACGATATTTGCACGTTCTAGACTGAAGTATATTTGCTCATATTAGTGTCGCTGCGGTTCGGATACTCAGAAGATCTCCCTGACTGACATCGCATCATGAAAGTTCAAAAACTCAATAGTAAGGCTTCACTTAGTCTAAAAGGTGTCCCGGCTGGGCGAATAAGACTAGTTTATTATCGAAGCTCGTGCTGTCAAAAATATAATTACATGAATTATCATGAGGTAACTAATTACCTTCAGAATGACCATGCCTGTGGCGCGAGGTGTCTAAACCTCTATTGAACAGCTTGACTCCTTGACACGAGCTGTTCATTCCCGGAATCCGACTTCGACTAGAGATACTGCCTTGCACAGGTTAGCATCCTCTTTCAAACATTCTTCGCACTGAGCCAGGCTCGTGGCTTAAGGTCGGACCACGCGTGTCATCATTGGTCTGACAGCTGACATGTACCCTCCAGCTGAGATCCATCGGGGTTCCGTAGGACCCGTAGTCGCACCAAACTCGAACGCACGTCTTCCCACCCTTGACGGCGACAGCAAAATCAATTGGACAGCGGTCACATGATCCAACAAACTCGCATCCCGGATGGCTCTCTGCGGAAACGACGGCACGCTTGAAATCCGCAGCTGTATTGGAAGTGGGCATTGGAGGCGGCGGCGTAATAGGTGCAGGGAGCTGTAGACTGGCGAAGCTAACAAGTCGGGCTTGTCGAGGTAGAAGACGAGAACGAATGTGTTCGCCGTATCCATGTTCGTGAGGGCAAATGGGACGGAAGTTTAGTGTCCTCCTTATAATTGCATTGTTCTTCAGTTCTCTCGCAACGAGAAACCTTCCACGGACAATCTTCGGGACAGACTCCTTCACAGCCCAAAGATTGCCAAGCGGAAGATAGTCCGGTTGGAATCTGTCTCTGCGCGTCTCCATGGCTCGTTTGTAAAGCTGGTTATCAAACAGGCCTCTCATATGGCACTTCAAGGCGATTTGAATGTCCGCATGGCGATAAGCATGCGTGTCAATGTTGGCGCTGGTTGTCTTGGCGGGGTTGCAGCTGGGTAGCTGATATGGTCTGCCGCTGTTCCGGGGCTGGGCAACGGGTCCGAAATAACGGTGACGAATACCGAAGCGGTGCAATCGACAGCAATCTTCGCACACGTAATGATCCGGCCGAGTGTAGCCCAGAACTGTCCAGAAACGGTATCTTTCATTCAAAGGAAGACTGCAGACGTCGGCATTCTATTTAATTACAGGTCGTTTGGTGAGGCTGCGAAAGATTTGGTTGGTCCGTCATAGGATGAATAGGTCGTGAAGGTCGAGGAAGTCAAAGATGCACAGAAAGATATCGTTTGGTACGTTGAGAATGGAAAGAACCGAGAACGAGTGTTTTTGGCAGATAGTCGACTCCATTTCATATAATTCGCACGTAGAAGTCGATATTGATGCAAATGATTGTGGAGCAGCGACTGTGGGAAGCGAATCGCTGCTGAAGTTGAGGAAACTGGAGAGGGCTCGCAAAGATTCCTGGGTCTATGAAGAAATAGAACTTGACAAGTGGCATGATGTATCTGAAATTTTTCCCTGCACGTGTCCGCATTACTTTTAGAGTTTTGTCCTCTGACTCTAATCAGCGAGACTTTGACTTCATAATCATACATGTTCTCGAAAGCGCCATGTGGCTCTCAGGGTGTCAGGCAACCCTAGTCTTCGTCCCACTTATCGGACGCAGATAGGGAGATTTGCGCAAAAGCATATGCGATAGATTCAAGAAATGAACAGTCAAGCTGGCCTGATGAGCTGCAAATATGCGAGCTCGACCGGCCGCTTGATGTTTGCTGTCGTCGAACTGCCGCATAGCGCACGTGTAGGTTTCATCTCATTCTAATACCAACACTTTTCTGTGCCGAGATTTTTGCGTCCAAGTAGACTCAGAGAAAACTAGGCATCTCTATGCTAACCGTACGAGGTAAAGTCAACCAACAGCCGATGAGATCCGGACAAGCAGATCCTCCTTATTCACTTCCATACAGGTAGTGGATAGCTGTATTTTAGTGTTGACAAGGGCTCCTAACGTTTCTTCAACTCTCTACCTGCAGCTGTCCATGGCACAGTATGGAATTCATTTTCAATTCTGCCAGACGTCATACAGCGTCACATTGAGAACATGATGTGCAGGGTAAGCCAGAAGGATTCATACGTGCAAAAGTGAACGACGTCTCCATCTTTCTCGGCCGAGTTACCGGTCTCCGACACCGATAAAGTCCCACAACGCACCGGCCCCAAAAGCACGGCTCCGTCCGATCTGCGCGGGGCTGACTAACCCCGCAATTCCCGGACGACCTCGCGCCCGCGCTTCACCAAGTCGCGAATGCGAATCGTGCTACGTCAGCCACCGCCCTCCAATCTCATCTCCCCAAAAGCGCCTCCTCCGAACCCCTTTAACATCGACTTGTGATCTCGTCCTCATAAGCCGCTTATCTCCTCGTCAACTCCACAAACGGCCGCCATTCCCAGCCCAAGCACCTTCCTCCAAGATCTCGCCTTCGCACTCGCACGGCCCATCACACATCACAATGTCATCCCAAACCCTCACAAATCTCACAACAACCCTCTCCCGCCGGCCGGCCCTCACATCCGTCACCGCCGCGCTCACCACATCCCTCCTGATCTGGGCCGTCCGCGACTACCGCGCCTATATCGCCCTCGGCCCCGGCGGCGTCCCGCACAACTTCGCCGGCTGGCTCATGGTCACCATCGGAATCCGCCCCTTTGCCCTCTCAAAGAGCTCCGCGACATGGACCGGCGACTACCCCAGCGAAGGATACCACCAGGACATGAAGGGCCTGCCAAGAAGGAAGGGTGAGAGGGCGGCGTTGGGAGGTATCGTGCCACATAGGCAGCTGAGCCAACATGCGCCGGAGAACATGAGAGAGGTAACGCATACTCCGCCAGCTTTACCCTTGCTGTGAAGCTAACACGACGCAGTTCATCCAAAACCTATTCACAAACGCAGCAACCCAAAACCCCTCCCTCCTCGAGACGAAAAAGTCGCTCTACGAACGTCTCAACCCGGCCCTCTTCGTCGCGCCCCAAGTCCTCGCCAAATCCGCCCCGGAAGCAGCACGCACCGCCCGCGGAGAGATTGGCCATCACCACGGCGACCTGTCAATCCACATGTACCTCTCCCCGGCAGACGCGAAGCTCGCCATCGAAAAAGGCTGGGCCGAGCGCCACCGCCTTTCCGTCCCGCGCACCTCGTTCTTTGCGAACCGGTTCCACATGGCGGACTCGTACATCATGGTGTATGGGCCGCGGGACGAGGAGGAGATGGAAGTCCTCGCGACGATTCTGAAGAACGGGATTCGGTTCATGACGGGGAAGGAGGATGTGGGAGAGATTGAGTGGAGGCAGATGCTTGTCTAGATCGGGGAACGGGTGAGCCTGTCATGATGTATGAGGAGGTGTTCTTAACGTCGTTGATATTATTAGTCAATATCTAATTACATTAGTTTTGAGATTAAGCCTGTTCAAGCGAGGACCCTGTAGATGGGATACTCGTCACCCTCCTCGACGGGCACGATGTTGAAGCTTGCGTAGGAGTCAATGTTCTCGGGCTCCAGCGCCACAAAGGCCAGCGCGGCGTTCTTCTGCTTCGTGCTGACGAGGAAGCTACCGGCAGGCAGATCAACCTCTCTTGTGAGAGGCTCAGTGGTGACGGTGGCGCGAACGACGCCCTCGTAGTATCCGGTCTCAAACTCCGCCGAGGTGATGGTGTAAGCCTCGACGGTGCCCTTGTACGGCTCGTCGAGGGTTTCAACCTCAAGGCCGCCGACACGCAGGCGCTCGGCGAGGTCGGCCCAGGATGCGGGGATGAGGTAGGCCTCGGGACGCGCGCGGGTGATGTTGGCAGTCACGGGGGTGGTTGAGCCAAAGTTGATGGGGACCTGCACGACGGAGCCGTTGTTGATGTTCACCATGGTAAAGGTGCGCTGGACAGTGGGCGAGGAATCAGTGACGACGATCTCGGCGTCGGTAGTTTTGAAGTCGGCGATGGAGGACTCGATGGTGGTGTACACCTTGTCCGCGTTGTCGGCAGCAGTCTGCAGCACGCTCGAGGCCATGGTCAGACCCGCGACGGTGCGGCGTTGGAACTCCTGATCGGCGAGGTAAATGCCGCGCATCTCGATCAGGAAAGTCACGCACTGAGTGAGGCCCATGGCGTTGCGGCCGATCTTGGCGTCGGAACCGGCCTCGGCGAAGGTGGGCTTGAACTCGGGGTTGGTGCTGGTGGATCCCGTCACGTAGGGCTCCCAACGCAGGCCCCGAGACTCCATTGCCGAGCCGATGTTCTTGGCAAACAGCTCCTCGGACAGAGAGCGAATATCAGGGTGGATGTTGAGGTTCTTCGCGGCGGAGAAGAGACCATCGGCGGCGTGGTAGTAGCTGCCGTAGCGGGCGGTGGCGCTGTACTCGTGCATATCAACGGCGACGTGAGGGTTGAACTCGTTGAAGAGGGACTTGATGTCGCGCGTCTGCTTGCGGGCGAGCTTCACATGGTCGCGGTTCGGGTCATAGTTGGTGGCCAGGGTGCGCTGGAAGTAGAAGACACCGTCGGGGTTGTAGCGAGGCAGAATGACGATGTCAAGCTTCTCGAGAAGCGAGGCCGTCCAGGTCTGGTTCGCATCAAGTGCGCCCAACAGAGCCAGCATAGACTGATCGCCGGCAGGCTCGTTACCGTGGACGGCGCCCTGAAGCCAGACGCGCACCTTGCCGGTCGAGTTGGCTGCCCTTCGAGACTTGGCGGATCCTGAGGTTAGATGGAGGTAGGGGAACGGGCGGCCCTCCTCCGAGGTGAAGTTCGCTTTGTTGTAGGTCAACCAGCTGTTCTTGTCGGCGAGATCTTGAACAAAGGTGTCTTTGAGGTGGTCAGCTTTGCACAATTACCATGGCATCGACTAATTATCTTACCAAGAACATCATCCGCAGTGGGTCCCTGCGTGCCTTCGGCGAAGCCCGTTGGGATCGTCTCCGGGCTCAGAAACGCAGGCGACAGCAAGTCTACACCCTCAATGGCCTGGAAGTTGGCGGCGATAGCATCACTGTCTTGGCGGACGGTAACGTGGTTGTATCCGTACTTGGCGGCTTCCGCTGAGGCGAGCAGTGAGAGGCCAATGAGGCCAAGACGAGATGTCGGCAACATGCTGTCGATTTCACACGGCGTCTGAAGTTCCAGTAGCTCAAGTGCTGCTGGAAGTTGACGATCCGAACCCACGGCGGCTGTCAACGGCTTTTACGCAAACTTTATACATCCCTCGCCGTCACATCGCAGCGTTGCCGGCGGCGCAAAATAGCTCACCGACGCATGGCAAAAGGCTGTTCCTGGTATGACTGGGGCTTGGCTGAGATCATTCGGAGGCTTTTCAATTGGTCATTTGAGATATGCGAACATAACGCCCGATAACAGGAGCGTCAATGGCCAGCAAGGTGCGAGGTGGAGATTCATCGCGGCGAGCGTGAACATTGGCAACGAAACTGGATGAGGCAGCTCGGTGGCAGGTGTGAGGGGAAAGCGGGGGAGCCCCGTGGGCAAGATAACGGCGGCCCATGGTGCCAAGACCTCGGGCCCCGTAGCGAAATAATTCATTTGCCATTGACGTATGAAACGTCTTCATTGAATCTCAATTGCTCCACGCTCCGATACTGCAGTGCCGATGGTCGGGACTTGACCTCCCGACCACGCTCGCCAAGAGCCCGGCTGCGCTGGTTGGGGATGGATCAGCAGACATGCATCTGGCCGTGCCCGCGGAGAGTGACCACAGTCCGGGCCGGTCGTCAGCAACTTCAGCCGCTGCTAGATCGCTGCGGCCGACGACCGGATACGTTTGCTCGTTGAGCCGGATATCCGGGTAAGCTATTTGCTACCCGGCGCATTGTACCAGTCAGCTTGCAAAGCGCAGCTCGAAAGTCGCATTTCTACTGGTCTCTATGATGTTTGACGATGATCAGAAAATCAACTATCGCAACCCGCTTCAATCACAAAGCGGCCTTGCCTCTCGACTCGAACGGCATGAAGAGCACCAAAAGCCCAGCTGCGATGAACAGGGCACCACTGGTGTAGACTGGAGCGGAGGTCTTGAGGTTGGCGAACATGGCGACAATGGGCTGTTGTCATCAGCATCACGATCGCACCACAGGCCAATCTCATCTACTTACTGCCATGATGCCGAAAATTCGGTTGCAAGTTGCCGTCAGCGCGTTGCCAGTGCCGCGCTGCGGAGTCGGGAAGAGCTCGGGCGTGAACCCATAGAGGACGGCATACATGACGTTGCTGGAGAAGTTGAAGGCGCAGTTCCAACCCAGAAGCGCGTTGCTTGTCAGCGCAGTCGTTGAACAGTAGAGAAAGACTCCTGTCAAGACTGTACTAAGGGACAAGGTGCCTTTTCGCCCCAGTCGAGGTAGCTCAACTAGCCACCCACCCAACAATGCGCCTGGTACACCAACGACCGCGATGATTAAGCTGTTGCGATATGTCACATACGTGCTTCCATCGCCAATTTCGGCGCCGCGAGTTGCTTGGATGTAGGGAATAAACGCATTGTATAGAGGATACCCAAGTCCGATCAAAGCCCAAACAGCCATGATCAAGCCTGTGCTCAGTGCAAGTCGCGGTGTCGAGAAAAGGACGCGTACGTGGCTGAGATCCAACTTTTCGAGGTTTCGTTTTACCGCGGCGGTAGCATCAGTTCGAGCGACGTATCCCTCTGGCTCGCAAGCCTTCAGGTCCTCCACCGATAGGGATGTCATCTTGCCGTTTCGCCTCGCGACTTCATGGACTATTCGGACGGCATCTTCGTCGCGACCCTTTCCCATAAGATACTTTGGGGATTCGTAGATAGTGAAGAGAGCAAAACGGACGAGAAACATGACGAGGGTCAAGCCGCCAATGGTGACGATGAAGTATCGCCAGCCCATATTGTTCGATTTGGTGCAGGTCTGGCCCTGTTGGCATGTGAGATTCCCCAGAAGAGGCCATGCAATCAACGTCGCGATAACCTGAGCAATAGCCCAATCGATGGATAGAACCGTCAGCAGGTACTGATGAGTGCCTGGCAAGAACTCGAGGAAGATGGCCGAATCGACAGGTAGGTTGCCTCCCACCCCGAAAGACCAGAAAGCCGCAAAGATGCCGATGGCTGCGAAGTTGGGAGCCCCGGCGGCGATCATTCCCCAAACTGCAGTCAGGCCTAAGGTGAGATTGAAGGCTATCTTACGACCGAAGATGTCGCAGCCGAACCCCCAGAACATGGCTCCAGCCAGCAGACCTATGTTTTGAGAGAGACTCAGAAGCGGGGGACGGGTCGGCTTGAACTCGTTTGCGATGGGAGTGAATATGAGCGAGGTGACGATGGGCCAGAGGTTGTCACTTGCCCACCCAAAGCCGACGACGACGAATAGCTGCCACTGATACCACCCCATGCCAATATCTTGGATCTGCAAATCACCAGTCAGTGGCCATCATCCCAGGTAGCCGAGTCGCGCTTCGCGTTGAAGTTTCACACGTACCGCGCGATTCAGAACTCGAGCTTTCGCCTCGTAGACCGGGTCGAGAGCGCCCTTGGGGATGATGGCGGCGTCATCAATGCCATGGACTTCGAGGATGGTCGCGCGCCCGTGTGGCGGAGGCGACTCCTCTTTCCGCGCCTTATCTGGTTCGGTGCCCATCTAGATCGTCCGTGTCGCGTGCGTTCTCAGTAACTCAATTCAATTCCCAAGACCGAAGTAGCGCCACAGCAACGTTTTCTTCCAGAACGAAATCGAGAACGTGTGTTAGATTGCACAAGGTAAGCAAGGCGGGAACGCGGGTCATGAAGTATGGCCGGCCGATGACCAAACTTCGAGTACCGCCGCGGGCTCCCCAGGTCTTCACGTCGTACGCCAGTTCAATGGCGCAATCCATCTGGTCTGCGACTCTTCCGGCTGTTGATTGGCCGCGCCGGCATTGAGGCGGTCGGAACGCATGCCGATCTGCACTCTGTTTCTGCCCCGACGCGGGAGGGAGGGGTGGAAGAGGGGCCCTAGCGATCAAGCGTGTGGGGGGATCTTCCCGTACCCCATCGACATTCGCTCTGTCTCATCTGATTTGACGCATGTGTTGGTCACAGGTTGGGGTTGTGAACCACCAGGGTGATGTTTCTCGAGGGACGAACGTCATCGTTGGGTAGGTGTTTTGGTGGTGTAATTTTCCGCTCCTTGTGGAGTTTTCGCGACAACATCGAGTTTTCCTCGCTGAAGAAAAGAAATGTTGATTACAGAAACGCCTAAAAAGCAGCGCCTTCGATCGAGGATGAGCATTGTTCGAAAGTTTGTTCCTGACAGTTGATGTGTCGAAGACAGCGTTTGCCGGCCCGGCTGTTTACAAGGAAGCGCACAGGTTCCCGCCCCAAGCGAGACCCACCGGTCGGAGCCAGCTGGTGCCAGATGGTCTCCAGACCCGTCCATCTCTTCACCCCTCATCACCATCACCATCACCATCGCCATCTCGACCACGCGGACATTGGACGGCAAGGTGAGGGCTCTACTGGGGACGAAGTACTTTATGCCCATCTATTCAATCAAAGCCGGTGTTTGTAGAATGCTAAGCCAGAGACTATTTGTGTTGGTCCTTTCTTTCCTTTGTATTGTGACGTCAGCCCGCAAGAATTTGATCGTGGACACCGACTTGTTCAGTGATTGCGAGTAAGCCTCCTTTCTCAACTATTGAGTAGTTTTCATCTTGATGGTACAAAATGTCTGACACTCTTCAAGTGATGCCGGTGCTCTGTTGCTTGCGGCAACCTCGCCAGAGGTGAACCTCCTCGGAGTCAACATCAACTCTCAGTCGTCGTACTCAGTCCTGGCCGCCTCCGCCATCTTGAACCACTACGGTCATCCTAAAGTACCCATCGGCGCTCGCCGTCCTCTAAATATCATTCCATTCTTTGACAACTGGACAAAACTGCTAGGCGAGTTCGCTAGCAAAATCGCCACCCACTGGCCCAAAAGCATGTCGGATGCAGACGAAGCCTGGTACCCCGTCAAACTCTACCGCAAACTCCTCGCCGAAGCTGAAGACGATTCCGTTACCATCGCATCAATCGGCTTCCTCCACAATCTCTCAGCGCTTCTCAACTCCACGGCCGACTCCTACTCTGAGCTCGCCGGACCTGAGCTCGTCGCGACGAAGGTGAAGGAGCTTGTGGTTATGGGCGGTGACTACCCAAGCGGGTATGAGTTCAACTTCTGGGGCGACGACCCGTACGAAACTGCCCACGTCATACACAACTGGAAGAGTCCCATCGTCTACGTGGGCTTTGACCTCGGGAGCTCGATCCGTTCAGGCGGCCCGTTGATGGCGGATGGCCCGAAAACGGACCCGGTGAGGGCGGCGTACATCTTGTATGCGTACTATCAACCGAGATGGTCGTTTGACCCGGTAGCAATGCTGTATGCTATCAAGGGCTTGGATAAGTACTTCAAACATGGAAATGAGTACGGCTACAACATCATTAAACTGGAAGGAGAGGCGGGTTGCAGTGGCTGCAATGAGTGGGTTTTTGACAAGAACGTAACGAATCAGCACTGGCTCAACACGACTACCAGCTATGAAGAGATTGGGGACGAGCTAGATAAGCTCTTCTTGAGCGGCGCGCAGTCTTCCCCGCGCAGTTGCGATCCTGTAGGGGCGTTGCCTAGATTTGGTCAATGTAGGATGGAAACCTCTGCGAGAGTAGAAGGGGAGTCATATGGTAGGTTGGAGTTGTGATAGGATGAAATAGTAATTCTCAAATTGGTGTGAGTAGAGGAACTTGAACTTGTAGTCCTTAGTAGCGAGAAAGTAGAGAACAATGTCACTAGACCAAGTGGTCGGGCTCTGTACCTCATAGCGGAACAAATTGTGATTCTTGAAAATGAAAAACCAGGCACGGGGGAGGTAACCGCGTTTTCGCATTTTCGAGGCTCCGGACGGAAGCAGCAACCCAGCCTCTCTAAATCGTCACGTTCTTTAAAATTCAACAAATTTTCTTTCTTCAAAGGAACAAAAACGTTACTTAAGTATACACACAACGTACTAGATAGCTGTCCCCTTTGTTTTAACTTGTTCTTCTTTGTCGTTTTACGAAAAAAGTTACGACAAATGGCAAAAGGCAGGGTTGAACCCATAACCATATTAAACCCCAGCGGACAGAGTGCCAAGGACTTCAGGGCGCAAGCACACTGGCCAGACCTGACCAACTGAGCCATTAACTCCTCTATCCGCTGTTACTACAAAAGGTTACGTATTGCCAATATCTACCATGCGTCCCCGGGATGATTCTTTCTCTGTGAACGGGCGGCTATAGCGGCTGTCATCACGCAGGATGATTGAGATTCTAGACCCAACTGGACTTCTCGCATTTCCCCCACCTCTCAGCCACCGCCATTCTGTCAGCTTTGTCTACTTACTTGCATTACACAAGAGATTTCTACTGAGGCGCTACTTCGGAGTCGTATTTCAAACCTTGCAAATTCGTTTGAGGACACACTTGCACAGTCGCACTCCAGCCCGGGCAGAGTTGCATAGAACAACCCTCGCCGTAGCACCAAGGCGACCTCAGGGCAGAGGGCGATACGTTACACTTGCACGTGATTGTCACACACATGAGCACCTAGACCAGCAACTGTTAGGCTGATTATGGATACCTTATCAATCTCAGCTGGAGTTGTGGCAACGCCAAGTTCTGGCGTCTTTAAGTGTGGTCCAGGACATCCCTGTCTCGAATCACGAGGGCGCCTTCACCCCCTCCACCCCTGGCGCGGGAACAGCAGACCAAGATGCAAAAGTTCCTGCGCCAAGACATCCCTGTGAGAGAAGGCCGTTGTCCACCGCAGAGTGCGCCGGGACGGGGGACAACACAAGACAGTACTTGCCGTGAACCCGAGATGTGTTGGCTCGACTCACGGAACACATAATCCTATTCCAAACTCGAACATCATACTGGAAGGCTTGCCTCCCGCTTGTCAACTCATTTTACCTCAAACATGCAAAATGCCTCACCTGCTATCGTAACTCTGAAGCACAACGGAGCTGAGACCGTGGAGAGCGACTGGCGGGTGGGAGCATTTCGTGTTCCGTGACACTGATTCTGTGATGAAGCATCAAGTAAGCTTAGCAAGGATGTAAACAAGTTGTAGCACAGACCAAGAGTTTAAGAAGGTACTATGGAAGCCGGGACCCCGAGGGTCAGGCAAGAGGCCGCGGGCTGCCGAGAGAGCCGTGCCTGCAGCAGGATGGGATTACCTTGAAAGGTAGCGAAGTCCACCAGTCAAGTGCGACATACACTGGGCACCGGCAAAGAAGGTGTCTTTTCCGAGCAAGTAGGCCAAACAACAGAGCTGAGGGCATCAAGACCCACGAGCAAGGGCTTTGTTGCGTGTGCCCGTGCTGGCTCTTCTAGCGCCGCCGCCGTGACGGTTATGATGGCGAAAACCCATGGCAGAATTGCTAAGACTTTGGAGCTGTCACGAGGGCATGAAGAGCCTTGACCAGGAGCTGAACGTCAATGAACCAACACGATCTGGCCGACGAACGCGGCCTAGGTCACCCGTGACTACTCAGGAAAGCTATGCCGCCGTTCTGGACCTCAACATAGAGCCTGAGCCGACACGGCCAATGTCGGAATACCTCCGACCATCACAACCGCCACTCCGAGAACCCTCGTTCATTCACATGCTTAACATCCCACTTAGACCGAGAGAAGCGAAGCGTGCCTGCCGCTTTCCACAAGATCGAGAGCTTGGATTTTCGCCATCCACCCAAGCAACTGGGGACCCGGAAAGCCTGGACCGAACCCGATCCAAGAGCGCCTTTTTGACTCATGGCCATTTATTGAAGAAGTACGGGGATGGCGGGCGATGGCGACCCAATTTCCGGTGTCGCAAACGGCCCTGGTGGAATGGAGCATCTCGAGACCTTTTGTGTTGCCGGACTATCGCCGACGTTCGCGGAGAAGTGGCCTCGGACACCGAGTTCGAGTTCGCCGCTGCAACGCTGATTCGTCGTTGCGCTTGACAGCTTCTCGAAACGGATGATCGCCAAGCCAACTCAAACTAGATTGACTGGCACCTCGTGCGGCGGCCGTTGCCTATTAGAACCCAGCGAAACCTCGCCCAAGAGTCAGAGAAACAAAAATTCTGTCAGGGCCGGGGCAAATACGAGATTGGGGGACTCGACCCGAGAAGAGCAGCTCGCCGTTGCAGCGCGTGTGTGAAGAGAATAAAAAAAACGGGGACCCCGGCCACCGCGCCGAGAATGCGCTAGTGATGCAGAGGTGATGCCTCCAGCCAATGGCCGTCTGGGGATCCATCTTATCTGATGATCAGATATGATGCGATTCCGCTCCTGATGGAGCGCGGTCCAACCCCATCAGGACCTTGCATGCGCCAATGTGCGGACAAGACCAAACAGCGCAGTGGAACCTAGCCAGGGCGATTTCATCAGATAACTCTCTCGGGTGGGGAACCACACGACGGTGGGGACCGTAGCAGCACCTGCAAACATTGGAGAGAGACCGGGACAGGGTCGTGATCGGTGCCAGGGGTTGGCGCCGGTTTTGTCGGCCCAACTGAACCTTGGCGGGCCAACCCGCCGGCGAATGCGCCTTTTGCCTTCTGCTGCAGACTGCAGCTGTGTGTTGTTTTCTCGG